GAAAACACTCCATTTATTGACATTTGAAGATAAAGATAAGAGGTGTCACATAGACAAAAATCTAATCGGAAATCTGGATAGTTGCTCCCAGACCGACACATGTCACTTGAAACTCATATCCGAAAAATTATTAAGATTCCTTCAGGATAAGACGTGCAACGTGGACACAAAATCTTATCAGAAATCTTGTCAAATGCTTATCAACGCACACGTGTCATATATGAAATATTGTCTCTAAATAAAAGTTTAATTAAATTAAACAATACATAGTTATGGAATATATGAGTGTTGTACCATAGTTTTTCTCAAAAAAATAAAATATGAATGGCCCTAAAATACAGCTTTGCATGATTGTGGAATGGAAAATTTTAACCTACACTATTCTTTAAAAAATTAACATTTTAGAGAGCTAAATTTATAATCCTGGACTACATTTAGTCCTATGACTGAAAATGGCGTAATGTGGTCAATAAATATGGTCCAAATAGCAACACTATAGTAGAATGGTGTTCTTTAATTTGGTGCTTAACTATTTGAGGACTTTTTAACACACAAAAAATTAGTTGAGGATTTATGCCCACGTTCGGCTAAAAATTTTTAATAAAAAAAATTATTGAAGATATAATGTTTGATACTAGTTTAAGTTAACATGAACAAAAAAATATGAATAGAAAATTTAAACTCAAGAAGGGACATGCATTGCATGGGATGGGCATGCTTCAAATAAGTCGTAACATTTTTAAGTACTTTTGTACCCTCTTCTGATCTGTACCAAAAATCCAAGTGGTGAATTTTGATTGGAAGAACGTTAGGCATTGAAAATCGAATGACTAAAACCCATGAAATTAAGCATGTGGGTAAATTTCTGTTCATATTCTCCACGCCGGTATTTTGGAAATGTAAAATTATAAGTCCATTTTAATTATTATAATATTTAAGTATATTTTTATCTATGTGGAGCTAGACTCCACTTGCCACATCACCCACTTAATTGGTGAGGAATAATCCATATGTACGAAATTACAAAAACATCCTTACTACGTCATCAAACTTAACAGAGTTTTGGATGGAGTTGTTGGCAATGAGCAAAGTGGGTCATCAAATTTCGGTCAATGAATAAAAATGGGTTATTTTGAGTTTGATAGTTACTAAAGTTTCAGAAAATATTAGTGTAATTAAGCCATATATATATATATATATATATATATGTAAGTAATTGTTAGATTAAAAAAGCAATCCGTGTCGTGTTGCTAGAATTTCAAAACGGTGTGGATTTACATGTAATGAGAGAATCTCTCTTATCGTTTGGTAAAAATAATTTTAAAATTTAAAATTTTAAATATATATAATTTTAAATTTTAAATATATATATATATTTTTTTTTAAAAGGTTTAGGTGGCTGTCGACGGAGAGAAAAAGTTGGAAATGATGCAACTCTTATCGAACGTGGGGTCTGAACAAATTACAAAAACTGCAGGTTTTTGAAATTGAACCACCTTTTTCAATTGGTTGCTAGAAAAGCACATTGACTCTTCAAAAAATGAAAGCTATTTATTAGCTATTTCTTTTTATAACTTTTTCTTACAGTAATTTTTAATAATAAGTGATTTTCTCATAGTTTATCGAACGGACTGAGCTTCCCAAATTTTTTTAAAAATTACTTATCACTCCAAATAAGTAATTACAAACGGGCATTTAGGGTTCGTTTGGGATTGAACCACCTTTTTCAATTGGCTGCTCGAAAAGCACATTGGCTCCTCAAAAAATGAAAACACTTCATTAGCTATTTTTCTTTATAACTTTTTCTTACAGTAATTTTTAACAATAAGTGATTTTCTCATAGTTTATCGAACGGGCTGAGCTTCCCAAATTTTTTTAAAAATTACTTATCACTCCAAATAAGCAATTTCAAACGGGCATTTAGGGTTCGTTTGGGAGTGATTCTGAATAGGCCAAAAAGCATTTCTATGGAGAATCACTTCAAGTGGTTTTAAGTGATTTTATGAAGAAGCACATAGGAGGTACTTATGATCATAATCACTTTATCACTTAAAGTGATTATATGGAAAAGCACATGAGAGGTGGTTCTCTCTAAAAATAATTATGGCCTATCAAAAATTACTCTCAAACGAGCCTATAGTTTTTTTTGGTAGCGAAGCATCAATCGAGGTATTGTATCATGTCAATTTGCATTTTTTGTTCAAATAAATCCTATGTATATTATTAATAGTTTTCAATGGTTTAATACAAAATTGATCTCTAGGATAAGAGACTTACAAGCCTCAATCATGGAGTCCGTATCTTCATGTCGTCTATACTTCTCGTATTGAAACAAATTAAGATGTAATTAACACTAGGTAGTAGCTTAGTTAGTAGGAGCATGGAAGTTGTGTGCTACACGTTGTGTGTTTAATGACCGACTTGAGGAGCAAGACGATTGACATTTACGTTAACTCTAAAATTTTAAGTCATGAGTCAACCAAACGTGCAGTCGTGGGTGGCCCATTGCTGTTCGTCTCCATTGCTGACCATCCTTTGGAGCTATGCAAATGGCCAAATCGGTCCTATTAATTCCAACTTCACAAAAACAAAAACAAAAATAAAAAATTGTTCATACCTCAAGTCAAGCGGCAAATGATTAGCAGAGAGATTACTTTATATAATCAAGTTCGATTTCAAGGGATGAAATCATTAATTTATGGACATTATCTATGTATCCACACTTTTCAACCACCCTTTTCTCTCTCTTAACTACAAAGTCCAATCTCATTGTATTGCTGCCAGCCGATTCATTTGAATTTTGTTAGTACATATGGACGGCAGATCCCTCGACCCATACAAGTTCATTACATGTAGTAGTACTTTTTGGACTCCCACGAGGCAATGCAATTACTAAGAAACTTACAAACATGAAAATGCATTATTGACAAAATGTTCTTTATAGTCCATATTATCATTATCGGCAGATCCATTAAGGGTCCAGTGAAGGCACTTGCCCTCACTCAATTATATTATTTACCTACGAAGGTGTCAAATTTTTATGAAGTTTTGTATTTAATAAGGGTAAGTTGTCTTATAAAATGCCTCAAATAAGATTAAGGCGATAGGCAAGGGGGGCAACTTACTCTACTCCATTACTTATGTTATTCTTCTTGTTCTCTACACTCATTCTTCTCATTTTTTTATTTGTGCCGTCAATAAAGGAACTAGGTAGAATGTGTTGTGTTACTAATTTATGCATGAATATGTTTGTATGATTGTATTTTTTTTCCTTACATTAAGAGTCGATTGATCTTCATTATTAGTGGCTTTGCAGTAGTGGTTTATTGCCCCCAGAAAAGAAAATTCATAAATAAGTCACTGATTATCATCACCAGATATTGTAAAAAGTTGTCCACACCAAAAGCCAACTGAGTCTATCCTAGTGGAAAACCCCCCTTCCCCTTCCCTTTTCCCTTCCTAACTTTCGCAAAACTAAAATAAAATAAAGAAAACAAAAATTTCCACACCAAAAGTGATTAGACGAAAAAAGTGAGTTCATGCATAAAAAAGAAAAATCGTAAAGGTTACCCAAGAAAAAAAGACTTGCTTTCCAGCTGCAAGGATCACAATGCAGCGTGGGCCTCTTCTATGTTGTGAGTTGTATGTAACCCAGTTAGCTAAGAAGGAGATGCAGCCAATATTTGCTTATTGGGTCAGAAATTCCCATTAGGCCAACTATTGAGGACCCAATCAGGACATCATGGAAAAATATAAAAGGGCCAAATCCAAATTGGCAATCACCAAAAATGAAGAGGTTCAGGTTTAGCACCTGTTAAGGCTTGCTTCTTTTTTTTTGGGGGGGTTGGGGGGGGGGGGGGGGGGCAGTACATAGATCTCATTGAAAAATACCAATTGCTTTTCATCTGATCTTGAGATCTTTTAACTTAAGCACTAAAAATGATTCGTTATGCTTAAAAAGCAGTGGTGGCCTTGGGTAGAACAAGTGGCGCTACCGCACAGGCCCCTAATTTGTGAGTGCCCTAAAAAATGTTTCACTTTATATATTATATATATTAACATTATAAACATTTTATATATATTTCAGCACGCATCACATTGACACAAGCGTGTTTGGCTGGTTTGGTTTCAAGCGCATTTCTCTTCACCATCAATATATATACACCCTCACGCTTTCTCCTCCAATCAACACTAAAAGGAAAAAAAAGTTTAACCATCATCTTTCATCAATCTCTCCTTGGCTCTTCTGTTCAATCTTTTGACAATTTTTGTTTTTAATTCAAATTCAAGAATTTCAACACCAAAACATGAATATCCTAATTCCTAAATTCATAAAGATCACTCAAAATTTGTGTCATTGTTGATGAATTTTAGTTATATAAAAAAATTATTTTATGACATTAAGTTATGGAAAATTATTATTTTTACTATTTTCATATTAGATTTTGTGAGGGTCTCAATTTAAATTTTGCACAAGCCCTCAAAATCTTAAGACTGGCCTGTTAAAAAGCACTTTTATCCCGTAGGCACTGCATGTGCTTAAGCATTCCCAAGCTTACCTCTGCCTTTTGTCATTACAATCGAGCTCAAATCTGTAAATGATGTTTTGGTAGATTTTGTTTCCTGCATTGCATGAAACCAAGTTGACTCACTTTGGGTTTAGAATTTTTAGAATACTTGCTCTTTGCCAATCAAAATCACTTTCAATCTGAGCATTCTAATGGAGGGAAATTCGCAGGCTTCGCTTGCAACAATTAATTTAACCATGTCACAAGGACAAAGAAGTCAAGTTCTTGGTCGAGGGGAGAAGCTCTGGTATCACTGGCATTGGTGGCGTGGGTGGCGGGGTGTCGCTCAACCGAAGGCTTCAACACTAATTCAAAATTTTAGGATTAATGTTGTTCAATTGGAAAAGTTGAGACCAAATTGAAATACCAATCAAACTACAAGGGTGAAAGGTTTACTGTATCCTAGATTCAAAACATGAAAACTCTCTAACATCAAGGATCATTTTTCTCTTTAGAACTGGGTTCTGCTGCTTGAATTGTGTTTCTCGTATCTTTGGCTAAATTGCTGCCTTGATGGCCACCTACAATCAAGTATCCAGCAGTAAATAACAATACCAATAATCACACAATACAAAATCAGTGAAATTTTTTATTATCAAATAACACATTTACTTTGATTAATTTATCTGAACCAAATTCGAATATCATGTTTGTGGGTCATGTCATGAATACCTATCCTTAAACCTGGGATGTGGGGAATTGTTCTCACCGATCTCTATGTGTAAACATCCGTAGATATAATGAAAACTATCACAATACACACCAGAAGATTAAGTTAGAAGATCACCTGCCGGTGTCAATACTCGATCAGCAAAACCCACTGCTTGACTAGAATTTCCAGGAATGCATAATCTACCACGGTATTCTCGCAACAATGCTATGTTACTTGCAGTACCAGCTTCAACCTCTCCACTAGGCATGTGATTTTCACTGCCCGGCCTCGCAGTGGGTTTTAGTGAGTATGTTGTCGACCAAGATCCTCCATTTGATCCAGCTAAGGCCATTATAACGTCAGCCTGAAAAAGTACAGTGGTCACGAAAATGTCATGTATATGTAGTTAACAGTCAGGAGAGGGAAAACATGTTTGAATTCATACTATGTTGCTGATAGACAAGATTGGTGAAGAAAAGTGGAGCACTAAAAGAGGAAAATAAAGAGAGAGGGTGCAATGTGTTAAGTCCTGTTCCCCGAACATCAACCACAAAGAAACATTCATGATTCTTAATTTACCTCTACAAGAACAAATTTAAGTCCATGCTATTTTCCTCTTTAAGGATTAGTAGACAATAGTTCTAATAGGATGACAGGGTCTAGAGAGACTACATCACCCATGGCTTCATGTGGCATACATGAGTAGATGAGAGACTAGATAACGTGAGTTGAACACCGCTAGACTTCAGAAGGCTTAAGCCTATGAATCTTCAGTCAAACCAATGTAGAACATCCCCAATAAGCATATGAGTCTTCAGTCAGACCAACGTAGAACAATCCCTCCCTTTCCTTAATATTTCTTAATATCTCACATATGGATCCCCACAAAAGACAATTAAAGGGGAAACACTAACACCTCACAATGTAAAATGGAAGCCAAAAGGACTTCATAATTGATCTGTACAAGAAAACCACCGCTGCATATTTCAAGTGAAAAATACTAGCTGCCCACCACCAGAATGAGTATACAGAAACTGAAGAACCTCCCCGCACAAAATGAAAATGATGTACAAATGAAGTTCCTCACACCAAACATGAATTTTTATAGGAGATTCACTATGATATACTAATTCTTTGTTACACCTACCTACCTACCTCATAACTTAATAATTAAGCGTACATAACTTAACTAGCAAGTGTTACGTGTCTAACATAATAACAGGGAATTTAAAACCATGTCACACTTGTATTGCCAACAACAATATAAGCAACGATTGTTTGACTTTCCACATCACTCAATATAAGGACCATTAATCCAACCAACACCCAAGAATTAAAGCAGTAGCAAACCTGACAACAACAGCAGAAACAAGCACCAATGCAAAAGAAATACAAACAACACCACCGGCTCAGAGCCAAAGAGCAGATAAATTGTTGTCTTTTATAGCCTTGAAAATCCTCTTCATGCCAATTTTAGGGACTTCTAGTTATTAACTTGTCATTCCCTCGCAACTAACTGACAGAGAAAGCAACGTCCCTATTTATTTATTTTTCAGAATTAAAAAAATAATAATTAAAAAACCTGGAATGTTTCTGAAAAAAAGGTGAACAGTCAACTCCCAAAAATCTTCAAACAGTGCCTTGCTTCTCCTAGCTAGGAATCCTAAATAAACTAAAATCTGCTCTTTTATTTACTAACAACTAAATACGGACATCTAAAAAGTTAAGCTTGAGATAATATCAAGAAAGTGTAATGGCTAGAAAACAACTTACAAGGCAAAAACCGCATTCTCTATAAATTTTTCCTAAACCTATAAGTTAAGATCAGATCACACTAATTCTGAAATTCTACAGACAGTACCAAGTTTGTTTATCAGTATGCAACGATTAAATGAGTTAGACAATGTTGATATCAATGGTATATATTCTTTACAGATAATCTTCACTTATATTTTCTGTCCATCCATGCATATAAACTCATTAACCAAGGGAGTTGTCTCTACTAGAATCAAACAGTAAGAAAGCAAACCTTGTTCGGATGGACATCATCGAAGACGTGAGCTTGACCGCCATAGAATATGGTCATCTGCCGACCAGCAGATGTAAATCCATGTCGACTGCCATGACAACAGAAAAAAGATATTTTCAATGAAAGCAAACAAATGCAACAGAGCATAATGTCCTCTATATTGTATAATTAGGTTTACCTTGGAGTAGAAGGTTCTGGCTCTAAAATATTAGTCCCAGATTTCTGCCTGCTGCCACTAGGCAGCACCCCAGAAGAGTTTCTTTCAGGAGCACTACTGCTGGCATTAATGGAACTCAAAATTCCCGGGCCTTTGATTCCAGTTCTAGATCCCTCATCAGCAGCTGATTGAGAGATATTAGCTGGACTGGCATTGGCATCCCTAAATCTGTTTGAAGGTAATTGATGCACAAAGGGTACGAAATGACCTCCTCGTGGAGGGTACTGTACTGCAGCACCCAGATTCATGGGAGTAGATCTGTCCCATTTGGAAATATTGGTATCAACTCTACCACCAAGTGGAGGCTGAAAATGTGTGAGGCAGAAGTTGGCCTCAGTGGCTGTGTAGCAAAGACTGCTTCATCATCATTGGACCTTCTAGGTCGCTCTCCCCCTGGTCCATTTCGAAGCATCTGAATTTCAGGATAACTAAAAAGCATCAGATGAAGAAACCATAGACGGGGCTTTTTCCCATATGCAAGAATAGAATAAGAATATTGCACGATGTCAATCTCATACCTTCATCAAATGCGAGCTCTCAAGGGAGTCAGGACCGGTATGAGGGACCCCATCTCTGGATGAGCCCTTAAAAGTGGAGTCTGAATTACTCCTCTTACTTCCTAGTAACCTGTTACTTATCTCAGGCCCAGAAATATCACTCCTCGGACCATAGAATGGAACACCCTCAAGATGATTTCCAGCTTGTCTTTCTACAAAATTTAATGGCACAAGACAATGAATCAAACTCAAATGTAAATATACAGAATCCTAAATCAGAAGGGATAAGTACTTCAGGTGTCAAAATTTCAGTAATACAATCATAACAGATAAGTTTCAAGATTGGTAGTAAATGTTCATACACGGGCAAAAAAGGCTAACAATATAACAGAAACATGTCATGAAAAAAAAATGTTCATCAGAATGAGGTGCTTACACTTAATTAAGTCTCACTTTATTTGTAATGATAAATTTTTGACAAGCACTCTCAACTTTCTCCATTGCCCAATTGGTAACATAAAAAACAAAAACAAAAACCCACCACATTGCAAAATGACAATACATGGATAAAAACATTTAAGCATCATTTTTCGCAAAACTAATTCCAAATGCTCCGGCAATATGCTTACAAAAGATCTTTAGAGTCCAAAAGGGAAGAGGAAAAGTAAGTGAACAGCTTGCCCTTGATTCAACCTATCCTTAAAAAGAAGGCTTAACAAATCAAAAGCATAGAGGAAAAGAAAAACCCACAACAGCAACCAAACGCCTTACTGACTTCACTAACTAATCCATGTTAGAAACCAACCCCCATCTTTCTTATTTTGCATGTCCACACTCATTACTCACTCACACGATAAAGTTCCTAACCCCCCATGAATATATCAAAGCCATCCGAAACAAAAGAGCCCCCTCCCTCCCCTCCTCCAAAAATAAAAATTAGTAAAGGTAAAAACTTTTTTTAGCTGATTAAATAAACATATAAAAGCAACTATATTTAAGGAAAACAAAATGAGATAAGGTCTGGGTTTTTTTTCTTTTACATATATGAACAAAAATAAAATCACAGGGGGGAAAAGAAACAGTTCTTTAACAAAATGGGGAGTGACTGACCAGAACCCAGATCAGAGGTGGTAGAGATGGGCCCACGGCCACCACCCGAAGAAGCCCCAAGTGAAGCAGAAGCTGAGGGTGAGACCTCAGAGAGCCTACAATCAGAGGCTTTGGGGGCCAAAACGACAGGGGAATCACCAGGCTTCATGCCCAGAAAGTCATGAAAGATGGGCTTCAATAGCTGCTCTTCTTGCTTCTGTTTCTGCTGCTGGCTACTGTTGTTAGTAGTGGCATTGTTGGGCACGCCTTGCTGAGCCATTATCAGTACAGCCATTTCATCCCCATAGCCATACCACTCTGCAAAGCTTATTTGCTAGCTGGAGACAGAGTGTGATTGTGTTTGTGTAAAGAGCATAAAAAGAGAGCACGATTTTCAGAAAAGCGAAAAGAAAATGAAAAAGAAAAAGAGAGAATCAGGGGTCTTTATGAGCAGAGACCGAGGGAGGGAGGGAGAGAGAGAGAGAGAAAGAGCATTAAAAAGAAAAAGGTTCTTGGGCAAGTGTTTGTGACTTGTGCTTGGGCTTTTCTGAGTTTTTCCTCTCTCTCTCTTCTCTCTGTTTGCTTAAAAATGCTGTGTCTGTGAGTGTTGGGGTTGGGTTGTTTGGTTGTGTGAGAATATATGTTGGGGTTGGGAGGTGTGTGTTTGTGTGTTTTTTTCTGGCAATTATTTTTGTTGTTTTTGCATTGGGAGAGCAAAAGAAAGAAGCAATGGGGAGAAAGATAGCGTACTAAGAGGGGTTTTGTGTGTCTGTGTATATGCACTAACGTGGCTCACTGCCAGTGCCTGCTTTTTCATAGGGTTTAAAAAATCCTTTTTCCTTGCTATTTTTCTTAATAAAAAATCCCTTTGTGTGTTTTTTTTCTTCATAATTATGTTATCGGATATCTTCTTTCTTTATTAAAAAAAAATCTAAAAAACAAGCCTATCTTTTTTTTCTTTTTCTTTTTTCATGTGTTTATAAATTTGAAAGCTAGATGCATGTTATCCATATCTAAAAGAATGAGTATCAAATCAGTTATAATTATCGATGGTTAAATTTTGATTCAAATTTAATTTGAGTCTGATGTAATTAATAGGATGTAGAGTGAGATTTTTCATATGATAATTTGAATTGTTACTCACTAACTTAGTATTTACCATTAAAAATTGTACCAATGAGGAATTGAGACGTATGAGTTTTCCTTATGATAGTCTAAGGCAAGTCAAGGATTAGAATGTATTTAGAATTTCTTTGGTTCTAACCTTGTCTATTTTTTTGTTGTTACTTTGCATACAAAACCTTTGCACCCATAAAAATGGGTTCATCATGTATATATCATTCACATCCATCTTGTGCATATATTAAGCATAAAAGTGAAAATCATATGATAAAAGCACTCCATATAAGTCATGTTATAGACAAGAGATTTCAATGGAAAAAAAATGTTATGCAATGTGGCATTACTACTATGAAGTGTAATGTTTATGTGCTCACTTTGTTGCCTACAATATACTTGATTTTAATTTCGATTTCGATTATTATTATTATTATTATTATAAAAAGAGAAAAATGAGTGAAGAGTGGGAATTGATGTGGTGGAAGCTAAAAACCGACGAGTGGGGGAAGAATATTGAAGCACAGATTCTCTCTCTCTCTGTCTCTCTCTCTCTCTCTCTCAACTTCTTAACTTCTCAAGTACTTTTGTTGACTGCAAACCACCACCAAAGCCCGATGCCGTCGTTTTCCGACTTGGGGCATCGTGCGAAGACCTCCACCCCCAACCCAACCCTACCTCGTTTGCCCAACTCAACTCACTCTCACTCAAACATTCATCATTGAATTGAAATTAACCATAATTATAATAAATAAACACTTTTTTTTCCTTATTAAACTCTCTCTCTCTCTCTCTCTCTCTCTCTCTCTCTCTCTCTCTCTCAGTTCTTTGTGGCAAGTGCTAGATAGTTGTTGTGCCCAGTAAGCCAAAAAAACTTACATATAACAGAGAATGGAGATAACACTGTTTTGTTATTCGGTTAATAATAAGATGACACGTGAAAAAGTTATTCTACGTATCATTGCATTATTGATTGAGATAGCAAAATGTATTATCCCTATTGCATGAGAATTTTTCTACCTACTAAGGCTCCTGTGAGTAATAATTCCTCTTTTTTCGACTTTACTTGTCTTGGATGCAGTGGTGGTGAGTTGACACAAAGATTCCCACACATCTCCTTGCCTTCCATGCTTGACAGAGATTTTCACAAGCTAAGCACAGAAATATAACTGTGCTTCTACATTGACATATGTAATTTCTTTTACTAGTAGGAGGGAATGACATCTTCAAGAGAGCCGTTATCGACATTCTAAGGTCCCGTTTGATTCACGGAACGGATTTAAGAAGAAATCATTTTCCATGTCATTTTTCAAAAGATGGGAAATGAAATATTTTTTTTCCATGTTTGGTAATGTCAAGAATGTAACCAGGAGATATCACTTTATTTCATTTTCCATGTTTATTTTGAGTAGGAATAGAAAACAAAGTTTGTTTAATTTCTCAATTATACTCATGTTAAATCAAATAAAAAAAAAGGAAGGCATTTAATGATATATTGTAATTCTAAATTGTTAACGGGGACAAAATGATCAAGAAAAATATGCACTTAATGTTGACTTATTTTCCCAAACTTTCCAATGAAGAGTGAAAACAAAACCCAAGTTGAGAAGAGGGTTTCACTTTCCCCTCTACTTTCATATGTGTCAGGCAACCATTTTCTATGTCTAAACTTATCAAATATGAAAAAGCAATTGATTTCTCATTCCCAAACATCCTTTCCTATGAACCGAATGGAGCCTAAAATAGTGTTTGTAGCTCAAGCGATTATACCTTCTCATTTTATTTTACTCGACAAGGATAGATCTTGGGATTTTCTCAAATCCCTTGACAATCCAAATGAAATCTCTTTTAGGCTTTTGTCTGTCAATTGGCCCTCAGGCATCACATATATCCAATTGTCCATACAAGTCTCATCATGCATGATTGACTAGCACAATCGAAAATAAGTGCAAAAATACTGTGAAGCTCATTCCAACTTGACGGAAACTTCCGTGGGGATTGGACTATATCTCTAACATGTCCAATGTCCTCCATCCCTCTAAAGACCAAAACTTAAATGCTAAAAAAAGCTTTGACCAAGGATAAAAATATATGATAAAAAAGCTGCTAGTAATACAACACTCCCACACAAAAATAGAACGGCTGGTAGCTACGTTTTGATGGTTCTTTCTCTTTTGCATCTTTTGCACTTGCGATCAAAAAAATATGCGAAGACTTCTCTTCAACCCATGTTATTATATTAATGTGTGTATTTGCAGACCTTCGACAAATTCCAAATGCACAAGTCCACATGCAAAGACAGGGCATCCAGCGAGCCTGATTCAAAGACAACAAAAAAAAGACCTCAGAAGAAGTAATATCATAAGGTTATATGTCATGTCTCCCAATGCTTCGAGTTAAGTTAAAACACTGCAAGTTGAAAATAACATATTTAATATTGTGTCAACAATAACATATTTCTTGATCAAGGGTCAGCAGCATAAGAAACTAAACCAATTTGACTTGAATGCGGCAAATCAAATTAACGGATTGCTTTTTAAAACAGGAAGCTTCATGTGCTCTTTCTTAAAAGGTCAATAGTTGGAAATTGTACATACCATGCGTTCCTGTTTCAATGGTCCACTGCCGTCTATTTACAAAGGACACTGACTTCACCATCCTTCAGGGCCCCCAAGACTCCAAAGTCCAGACGCGCATCCAGTTATGTCTCATAGTCTCTTTCATAGTCTCTCTTTACTTGTACCACCACAATGCAGTTTGTATGTGCGATGAACCTGCATCCAAACCCCTTGACTGCATAATAGACGTCCATCAGGATTCAGAATGCTGCACAGCTACAATATTGCAAAAAGTTTCTAACGTTACAAGTAGTTTGAATCCATATAAAGGAAGTCCTCCAAAAGTAGTTGTCCCATATAAATATCAAACTTTTACCAAAATGCACATGAATTTAAAGAGTCTTTATTTCTTCTGCTGGAAAACTTCCTCTGTATCCTGCAGTAAACTCCTGTTTACCTACCTTTCAGAGAATGCCAACTGAATCCAAAACTTAATGCCTGTTACCCAAGCAAAGCAAAAATATATATCATTGGATGTTAGCTTTTCTCTTAATATCCTCTACCAACTGGTTTGCTCTTGATACAACATTCTCAGGCGAACTTCTATACTTGACAAGTTCTCTTGGATCTGAACAAGTTTTCAACAAATCAGACATTGCTTCAGCCTTCTGGATTATAGATTTTCTCCTTGCATGAGATGCATCTCTTTCTCTGACATATGTGTTTGGCAAATTTGTTGAATGAGGAACGGAAGACATCATGTTGCACAGCTTATGCGCCATCTCAGTCATTCCTTGTTTCCTTAACTCATCATTCATTCTCTGAAAAGTAAGATACTGAGGAACTAAACCCCTCCGTATCATGTCCTCAAACTCTGCAAAAGCCTCTTTGAATTTATGCATATTGCAAAGCAAATGAATCAACATGGTGCTTGTAGCTAAATCCATATCCAATCCCCTAGATCTCATTTCCTTGCTTACTTGAACTGCCAAATCCAATCTCCCCTCGTCACACAACATCTTCAACAAAAGATGGAAAGTAAGCCGATCCGGGGTATACCCAGATTCAATCATTTTGGTATAAAGGTTCATTCCCTCCTCAATTTTCCCGAACTTTGAAAAGTACCTAAAGAAATAGTTATAGGTTGTTGGAGTAGGGACACAACCCCTACTTATCATCATCTTAAGGATCTTACTAGCCCCTACAAGATCTCCGGCCTTGCAAAAGCCCTTTACCAGTGAATTGTACGTTGAAATAGTAGGGCCTGATTCGAGGACCAAAAAGTGTTCCATCATCCCCAATGCCTCCTTGAACTTCCCAGCTTCCCCCAATGCATCAATTATTGGATTATACACAATTGCATTGGGCTCAATTCCTTCACTCCTCATCTCACTCACCAATTCAATTGCAACTTCAGCACGACGCATCCGACAATATCCTTCAACCAGTGTACCATATGTTACAACACTAGGTTTCACATTATCCCTCTTCATCTCCACCCAAAGCCGCTCTGCCCGTTTCAGCTTCCTTGATCGAAACCATCCATTCAACAGTATATTATAAACCCGAACTGAAGGAATCCAATCTGGATGCAACTTTCTTTTCATATCAAAGTACTCTGAAGCCACCCTAACAAGGCCTTCCTTACAAAAGGAATCCAACAAAACTTCAAACAAACTCATTTCTGACTCTGAATTAAGAAATAAGTCTAAATTACTTGCAAATTCAAAAGTCCGGATTGCCGATTGGGACATACCTGCATAAAATGTACCACCACCGGAAAGGATGATGGATTTAAAAGTAGTGAATCAATACCAAAAACAGGTCCAACACAAATGCATATGCAAGCCTCCTAATCCATAAAACCCAAATATAATTTCAGAATACAAGCAACTTTAGGCAACCCCAACTAAGTTGTACATGCAAGCTCAGAACTTTTCTTCAAATTGTGCAGGGCCAAAGTTATGCAGAGATTACCAACGTGTAAACTCGCAACTCTAACTAACCATTTATCAAATTCAATCGATTTGAGAACCATAAACTAGGCCTACACTACATGTATCAAAAATCCAAGATGCCCAATTGAACTTGAAAACTCAATAATTAAACTAAAAATTAAAATTGTATCTTCAATTAAGTACATTATTACAATCAAATAGCAATATACCCGCGCGGGAATACCGTCTGATCATGATCACAAACGTATCTACAGAAACCAAACCAGGCTCCTCATCTCCACCGATCCGATTAAGAATCAGAGACCAAGCCGACTCGAACTCCCTAGACTTAGCAAGCACATTGATCATGCAGCCGAAGAGCGTCGCAGAGGATCGAAACCCCGGCCGCTTTTGTGCCCAAAGAAACAGCGTGTGAAGCAATTTGGGAGACGAATCGAAGTGGTCGAACACAGCCTGTAACAGACACGGACCCGGCTCGATTCCGGTCCGGTCCAATGCGCTCTGGAGCGATGAACCGGGGGAAATGCTAGGGTCGGCGAGCAGGTTAGCAATGGTAGAGAAGTCATTTTGTGAAAAATTGGGGCCGGAGATATTAGGGTTAGGGTTTGGGGCGGGGTTTGGGTGCGGGAGAGAGCAGGGTACGTCGGGCGGCGGGGGCCACTTGATGATGGGGTTGCCTCGTATGGACAGCCATGACGAGTTGGAGAAGAATCGCAAAGAGAGAGCACGAAGGTTAGGGTTAGGGTTTGGTTTGAAGAGGAGGAGCGCCAGAGACAGAAAATGGCGGGTTTTGTGAGAGGGCATAACGACCAGTGGGCTCCGAGGCTGAGAGACTCACTGTCACTGAGCTCCAAACTTGTAAGTTTCAGTACAGTTAAAATTACCACTATACCCCTCCCTCAACTTCGTTTTTACTATTTTTGCCTATTTAAAACGAATCGAAATGGAGTGTGTGTGAGTGAGAGAAGCACACACCAAATCCAACATGGCTTGCATGCAATTCACAAACGCCGTGTCGTTCCGGCCAGAGCAACTCTCCGGCGCCGGGACCCGAGATTACCAAAATCTCGCCAGAAGGAAGTCCGTTTCGGTCTCTTTCGCCGGTATTTCGGCAGAAATGTCTCCAGCTCAGCCCGGAAAGCCCGAAATCGAGCTCGAATTCATAGGGGTATGCAGTTTTATTTATTTATTTATTTTAGTGTAAAGTTATGTAATTACTAGATATTTGTCTGAAGTTTTGTGATTGGTTTGGTGGTTGGGTTAGCCGAAGCCCGGGAACGACGGGTCGTATCCGGTGGAGAGCGCGAAGGCGATTAGTGGAGAGAAGTTGCTGAGGGATGTCATGTCGGATAACAAGATCGAGCTCTACGCCACGTATGTGAGTGCTCTCTCACTCTTCCATGCTAACTAACTACCTCACATTGCATCCCGCGTAATTTAGTTATTTCCTGCCACAGTTTCTAACGTACGCCGTCTCTGTAAATTGAAATTGGGTATCACAGCCCAATAACTATGGGGCCTATTGGAGCAATGCACATTCAAACCCAAAATTAAAATAAACAAATAAATCACATCGTTATAATAGAAGATGTGAGTTAGACCAGTTGATTAAGGCAATGTGTCTTTCCTCTTGCACTCGAATTCGATTCCCTTCCTTGTATACAATGTGTGAACGAACTACTCTTACATGATACACCTTATGGGGCTGGGGTCTAGCATAATTACATAGAATTTCAGAACAATAAGCAAATATGTGAAATACAAGTGATTGAAAAAGGTGTTGCAATTTTAATTGTAGGGGAAACTGATGAACTGTGGAGGTGGAGGAAGCTGTGGGACTTGTATAGTAGAGGTATGAATATTCTCAACATTCATATTATGTTGTGTCTTCCCTAGTTTCTTGAGTTGAAACTTGTGGAAGATGGAAGGCCTCAGTTAATTTCCTTGTTTTTTTGTGTGTGTGTGCGTGTGTGCAGATTATTGATGGGAAGGACCTTTTGAATGAAAGAACAAATACTGAACTCAAGTATTTGAAGAAGGCAAGCGCTCTCTCTCTCTCTCTCTCTCTCTCTCTCTCTCTCTCTCTCTCCTTGAAAAACACTACACTATCTTGATAAACCAATCTCCTTTTCTTTTCTTTTTTCTTCTTCTGTAAATGTGGGTCTCAAAAACCCTTGTTAATTTCTCATTTGAAGTAAATTTCTAATTTATTATATTTTATTATTTATTTTTACATTGGGCAAAACAACATACAGAAACCCGAATCCTGGAGACTTGCTTGTCAAACTATAGTTGGAAATAAGGAAAATTCTGGGAAGGTACTTCTCACCACTCTCCTTTTATTTTTTATTCGTACGTGTAACGTATTTTCAAAATATTTTTTTTAATCTTGATTTGACTTCAAAACAAGAAGGAAAAATCCTATGCTTTTTAAACCCAGGCATTCAGAATGGATTACTTACTCATGTTATGCAAATATTGTTCTGATTGTTGTGGGTTGCAGGTTGTGGTTCAGAGGATCCCCCAGTGGAAAAAGTAAGAGACCATATTATGAATTATGATCCACATTTGTCATATCAGATTGTATCGAGGCTTATTTAGATGTGACGACTGTCCAAAATTTCAATTTTTATAGTTCGGTTGTGTGTAGAATTTTGTACAAAGTACAAACAAACAACTACTACGACACGATATGACAAACTAATAATATGATGACACGTAAACATTGTTGCGAAGTTTAATTCAAGTGTCATTTGTCTCGTCATATTGGTTATTGGTTACATGTCATCTCTTGATTTATTGTACTACATTAGCGTAAGTATGGCTGTAGTGAGTCATCTCCAAGAATTTATGTCATCTCCAACATTGTTGCGAAGAATTTATACGAATCATAGTTGGTCTAATTTCAAGGTAACTTATGTTACATGCCCAAGTTTTCTTGTTCTCCCATGCTTCCCCTACCAACTTTTTTTATGTAGTATAATAAATCTAATTAAATATTTGTAAAAATATTCATTTTTAATAAGTTTAATTATTTACTTGCAATATATTAAAATATATATTGTTTTGCCTTTGCCAAAGGCCATATAATGGGTTTCGACCGAAAAAAGAGGGCATATAATGTGCATTTTGGTGTTTTCACAAAATATACGAGGACAATTTGGGTAAAAAAAAGCTCATTCCAGTTCATCATTGCCTAATCCCACCTACCTCTCAGGAATTTAATTCCCCCTATATCGGGAATCAAAGTCATAATTTTACCGGGACCATGGTTGCTTTTCATTCCCGTTGTGCAAGTAAACATGTTATTAGTCTTAAGTCAAGCGATTTGGAGAGAAGCTTATGTGAGGTTGTTCCTACCACTTGACATTGCAACGTGTCAGAAACAATCCTAAGGTATTCTCAAAGTAGAAAAGGTGACAAGGGAGGAGCGGAGCAGCATTGGCCATCTTTTATTTACACTTTTTGGAAGAGCCTGCCTAAACCCAAACTCTCTCTTATAATTACAACCTTTTGAATTTAAAGTCAATATTTTTAATGATTATTATTCATTCATCATTCATTTCAAATAAATTAAAACTTTATATATTTTTTCTTCTGGAAATTAAAACTTTATTTCAAGTGCCTTTTTCCAATATAGATTTGTCGGGACCTCATCAGACACACGCACTTTACCTCCCGCCGAGGGCTTTCACTGTGTGAAAAGGGGTTGGGCCCACCTCGTAGGAGTGCGTAGAGAGGGCCACAATGGACCACATCGGCTTTTGGATCTGCAAAGTTTTTAAATGGGCTTCAGGAATCAGGACAACCATTCTTTCTCTTTTCCAATAAATAAATAACTTCCACCAGATATTTGCCTGTTAATTTCAAACTTTCCATATATAATTCTTACCACAATAATAATAATAATAATAATAATAATTTCCATATATGACTAGAATTATTATATTTTTTTCTTTGGAAACTTTTCATTAGATTTGGGGAATTTTTCACTAGATTTGGTGAATTTTTCACTAGATTTGGGAAATTTTTTACTAGATTTTAGAAAATAAAAATCTCTATATATTTTTTTTCATGAGTTACCATATATTGAGTGACTCGATCCAAAATCTAAGGGCTTCGTTGGATGACATTTCTATGATTACAAAAGTGATAATGAATTCTGTGGTTTTTAAAGAAAATGCAAAAAAAAAATGAAAAAATATATATATATTTTCTTTAATATCTCTAATTACTCTCATGTTTTCTCCCTTTTATAATTTTAAAAACATAAATATTTAACATTCCTTTTTTTTAAAAATCGTTATGGATAAAATAAATAATGGACAAAAACAGCAGGTTTTGTCATAAATTATACAAGACAACCCAAGTCCTTTCCATTTCTGCTGAAACCATTTGAACCTGACCACCACACATGGGGGGGCTAACTGGATCAGTCTTAAAAATACATTTCCAATCAAAGATTATTGATTTGTCAATTTTGAAGAAAACCCAACTGGAAATTCAGTCGAGTTTGCCCAAATTGCTCTGAAATCATTTGTTTCAAAATGTTGAGATTCATATGAAGTCCATTTTGACTTTTTGTCAATTCCCTCTCTCATGGGGGATAGGGAGAAAAAAATTTGAATCACTAAAACACCATAATTTACTCAATCGAAACCAAGCATATTTCGAACTTTTAAAATTTTATAAATAGAAATAAAGGTAGAATTTTCCACTATTTAAGTGTATGTGTACATCGTGTGGTCATCGATGATCATAAAAATGCATAATTCTTAATAATTCAACTCAAAATTCAAAGGCTGATATTCATTACTATAAAAATATCGAGACCCTAATTTTTTTAACGGGAAATAGAGAATTTGAACTTGAGACATTTTCTGGCATTGGAGAGAGAAATTAATCAAAATTTTGAATCGCAACAAATGGATGTGTCATTAAAACTGCCCAAATAAAGTACGCATATTAGGGCTACCTATGCCTCATTCAAAAGTCCGACTTGGGAGTTGGGACGGCGGCCTTTGCCCCTATATTGGCATCTAGCCTACTATAGCATAGGTGATAGGGACCTTTCAAAATTTTCATGTAGGACACAATTTTAGAGGTCAGCGTGCCCTTGCTTGTAGTAGGGTCAATGATATATTAATGAGAAAATAAATCCATATTATTTTCTAAACACTTATTCAAATGGGTTGTTACAGCTCAACCCATTTCACATCATATTTAATACTCCGGATATTTATATTACAAACTGATTCAAAAAGAACAATTAAAAAAAGACAAAAGTTTAATAGAAAAAGACTGCAAACACTCTCATATTCTTCAAATTTTATTACATCAATTATTTATACTTGCTATATTTCTCTTCACTTGACTTGACATGTGAAGAGAAAGAGAAATTGGTATGAACCCGTGACACGCAAGTTTTCATATACATTGGCCATTTAAGCGTGTTGGTTAATAAAACTCCTCTATATTAAAATAAGTTTTTAACCGGTTAGGTCATGTTACGGAAAGAGTGCAAATGTACCAAACTCGAAGTGATAAACTCGCCTCTCTTGTATTAATGTCTGAATCGATAATTAATATATTCACAATATAGGAACATAACATAACAAGGTAGATATTTGAAGAGAAAAGAAAAAACATTCATAACCCATCAAAAGACAATCTCAGTTCTCACCTCATGTGTTAAAAAGTGAAATAAAATAATACAAAACACTCGGCGGAAATAAGTCAAAACAACAACAACAAAAAATACATATTTTTTGCTTTTTGGCTTCCATTTGGAATTTTGGAAGTTCAAACTGTAAATCCCGTCCCGCTCACGCTCCTCTCTCTCTCTCTCTCTCTCTCTCTCCCCCCCCCCCCCCCCCCCCCCCCCCCACCCTATCACATCAACACACTCTCTCTCTTTCTCTCACACTCACTGTCACTTCCACACAATTCTCTGTCCGAAGCTAGCCTCCATATTTCCTCTGCTTCTTCTTCTTCCCCCGAGCTCTTCAAACCGTCACCGGAGAAGGTGCCGGAGCTCCCACCAACAGAGTAAGCTCAGCTCCCAAACGCATAGCCGTGCATAGTTTTTTTTGTTGTTCTTTTTTGCATTCTAGGTGTTTGAGCTTCGTCGCTCTGTTTTCCACCGCCAGATTCTAATGGAACTACGTCCTTTTTACGCCTGACGGGTTCGCTACATAGATCTCGGCGCTGGCTCTTCCCATTTTTGTTCTTTTAAATTCTTATATTTTTTACATTTTTATCGTTTGGAATTTGGTCCGCCTTTTGTCAAATGTGTTTGCGATTTTATGTTTTGTTATGGTTTTGACGATCTGGTGCGGTGATAGTTGAAAATTTTGAAGAAATTAGGGTTTTGGGGTTGGATTTTACGGTGTCTGGTGTTCTTATTAAATGTTTTTTCTTCTGTTTGGTTACTGGGAAAAATGTGTCAGAGAAATAGAAGGCTGCAAAACATTTGTCTTTCATGCACTCTGGACCGACGAAAAATGAAAAATGTTTGTCAACTGGGCTTGGTTGAAGTGAGTTTCTCCTGTAATTTAAGTAACACCAGCCAACGGTGGATTAAAACGCTTGTTTTCTTCTATTTCCGAAGGTTTTCTCGCTTCGACAAGAACAAAGAGCTGAAAATTTGTTCTATGCTTGTGGTATAGGACCCTTTGTATTATCTTCATTTAAGGCCTTGTATTGCAAGCTGTCATGGGTTTTGTCAAAGGAAAACAGAGTAAGGCACCATGATTTTTCTTTTTCAATGGAAGAAAAAATGGTTTGATTTATTATTGGGACGAAGATGCCTTCCCAACTACTGTTGTGTTGTGTTGTGTACAATGGATAATAGTATTTGGTTTAACAGGAGATATCAACTTACACAAAAAGACGCTGTGCAAATCAAATTTTTATTGATGATCATTAAAAAACATGTCTTTTCGATCCTTTCATACTTGGCCCCGAATGCTTTCTCGGGTTGGGTTTGTTCTGCTTGCTTGTGTCGGATGACGCAGTATCTCTTATTGACATCAACTGATTTGAAAATGCAGGTTCAATGAACAAGAATTCGGTCTGAATTCACTCATTGCTCTTCTACAAGGTAGGCAAAGATGAATAAAGAAAATACAAATGCTGCCAAAGTTGAAGAGCCTACCGTCCGAATCACAAGGGCACGGGCTAAAGCCTTTGGCACTTCCGGGGAGGTAGTGTCCTCCTCAAAACCTTTCTTTAAAGAAGATCAGAAGCATGGTGTTCGAGCAAATTCCAAAAGAGCAGCATCAGACGAGAACAAAGGATCTGCAATTGCCACCATTGGCTTGCAGCATAAAAGGAGGGCAGTTCTTAAAGATGTAGCAAACGTCATCTGTGAAAATTCATATGTGAAATGCACCACTGATGCCTCTCAGGTTCAGGTACAGATTTGCATATTTCCCTTTCTAATATGCAAAAAATTTGAATAGTCAATGAATACTATGTTTCTCCAGAGGCCTCACATGATTTTAAATAAAATTAATTGTTACCTCCATTAATGAAAAAGAGGATATGGTTTTTCTGTGACACAAAGCCATTGTTTAAGCATGTGTAGGATCTAGCATGCTTCTGTATGTTCATTAAAGTAATTCTAACTTAGAATTTGTTGGTATTGCTCCCTGACAGGCTAGTAAGCAGGCCAGAAGAGGTCTTGCAAAGAATGTAAAGGCAGCCTCAAATGTCTCGGAAGAAAGTACAGTGGTTCAAGAGGACGCAAAAGCAAAGTTAGCTGATGAATTATCCAAAATAAGGGTGGCAGAACCCCTAGAAGCCACTTTGCCAGTGAAGTTGGGAGAAAAAGAGCCACTACCCCAGGGTATGTGTCATATCTTGGGACAACATAGAGGAGCAGATTTGATGCTTAGAGTACAGCCTTCTGCAGAACCTGCTGAACTTCAGAACCCCAAAAAGAAAGGTACATTTTATGCTTCAGATTTGTTCCGGAGAGTGCAACAGTATATGACTTATCTTTTTAAACTGGCTAACTTAAGGGTGTCCGCTCTCTATGTCTGTACTTCATAAGAGGGATGCTTGCAAGGTCTAAGATGACAAGTTTTGTTCCGAGCCTTCTGATTGCAAAATTGAGTCTTTCTTAGTGTTGAAAGTTAATTAGTTTACAAGAAATTTTGATTGGCTTTAAAGGGGTTGTGAAAAGTTGATGCAACCTGCTGATGCACGCTTTGGCAATTTTGGAATTTCCTTTGTTACAGAAAGAAGATTACTGCTCAATCACCTTTATAATTTCTATTACTGACTTCTGTTTTCATGTTGACATTAGCAAAGCTTGATGATGTTTTTCATTGGACTATGCAGAAGAAAATATGGTTTGGGATATATCGGGATCCTCAAATGACCTGGACATCGTGGATATTGACTCAAACTTAAAGGATCCTCAAGCGTGCAGCTTGTATGCCCCTGATATATACAGTAATATAAGCCTTATAGAGGTTAGTGTTGGAGCCCTTTTACTACAGTCTGACGTTATTAATAAACATAATACTTTTGCAATATTTAATCTTCACTTGTATTGACAGGACAGAGAAATGTGAGGTTTCCTATATAATTTGAAACATAAAATAATTAAAGGACATGTGAGCTACTAATTTGCTGTCTATCAGTAACATAATTGATTCTGACTTTTAGTGGAAACTTATTCTTCCTCAGGTGGAGCGAAGACCGTCAACTACTTATATGGAAACATTGCAGCAAGATATCACTCCAAGCATGCGAGGAATTTTGATTGATTGGCTTGTAGAGGTCAGTATAATCGGATGTACCTAATGACTATAGTATTTCTACGAAATGGTTTGCCCTTGTTTGGAAGCATCCATACTGACTTACGTCTCTTTCAGGTTTCCGAAGAATATAAGCTGGTTCCAGATACACTTTACCTCACAGTAAATCTCATTGATCGGTTTCTCTCTCACAATTATGTTGAAAAGCAAAGACTCCAGCTGCTTGGAGTCACTTGCACGTTAATTGCCTCGTAAGTGCTATATTAGGTGAATAGGTGGTGGTTTCTAGTGAAATGTGATGAATTTTTTTGTAGTCAATTAATTATGAAATAAATCCTTAGGGATGTTTACTTAGGCTATTTCATGAAGTCATCTTTGGTATACGTGGACAGACTTCTTTATATTTGTGTGTGGTGTGTGCACTGGCACATGTGTGTGAACAAGGAATCAATAACAATATTTTTCTCCTGATTATTTCATCATTACATTGCTTGACGGGTATGTATTTTTTGTTATGACTCCAAAGGAAGTATGAAGAAATATGTGCACCGCGAGTGGAAGAATTTTGCTTCATCACGGACAATACTTACTCAAGAGACGAGGTATGTACTTGGCTACATGACATGTCTAATTATGACTGCTTTTGGCTTTTCCATGCATGCTGGTAGCCTTCTGGAGTTCTCTTATTTCCATCAACTTCAACTGCATGATCCTGGTTGCTGCAGTTGATTTTTATCTCGTCTCAGCCATAGACTTTGCTTACATTAGACTCATAAAACTTTGATTTGTTTTCGTACCATAATTCAAAAGCAAAATCCAGTTCTGTAGTTCACATGGCAATGCCCAACATCCTGCTTGATATTTCCTCCTTTCCAGTTGCATCACTAGTTATATACTGACATATAAAGTTCCTGAATAACTCTTGCAGGTATTAGAAATGGAGAGTAAAGTTCTAAATTTCTTGCACTTCCAGTTATCTGTTCCCACCACAAAAACATTTCTTAGGTAATGCACTCACCAGGCTTTATCTATGTTGCTTAGAAAATGTCATTTAAAGTGAGTTCAATAAACCTATTTTTGTGTTTCAGGAGGTTCATTCATGCAGCACAAGCTTCTTATAAGGTATTCTAAATTGAGTGTTGTCCCCATTCGTTACTTCTGAAAAATCAATTGCCATACAAGAAAATGGTTTTATTTTAATTAATTTGTTACGCAGGTTCCTTGTGTTGAACTGGAGTTATTGGCAAATTATTTAGCAGAGTTGACTCTTGCTGAATATGGTTTCCTGAAGTTCCTACCTTCCCTCATTGCTGCCTCTGCTGTGTTCCTTGCCAGATGGACACTCGATCAGTCTGACCATCCATGGGTTTGCATTTCTGTGCCTTTTTGTAAAGGTTTTTACTTACCTCTTCTGTGAGAATTGTCAAAAATAACGTTCATGTTTGATTCTTGCAGAATCCTACTTTAGAGCGCTATACCTCTTACAAAACATCAGAGCTCAAAACTACAGTTGTTGCACTGGAAGATTTGCAACTGAACACCAAGGGCTGTCCCCTAAATGCAATACGTGAGAAGTACAGACACCAGAAGGTATTTTGCTGACTGACCACAAAGCCCAACAGAATGTTGGGTAGAATAATACTTGTACATTTCATTCTGTTATTGCATCTGGCAAAACCTATTATCATACACTAGAAGTATTGCCTGAAGTACCTTCAGAACTTCTGAGGATCCTTTTGTGTTCGTCAAAAGACGGATCACCTAGCTCTCAGATCAAACTAATAGAACTAAAAAGGACCATCTCCTAACAAATTCATGTGAAGCCTGCTCATATCGCCGCAGGCGTGTAGATTCTTAAAACGGCACGTTTTAATGTTGAAAGTAATGTTTAGTTATTCATCATTGATAATCAGAATTTTGATTTAGTTCTTTTCTTGACAGTTCAAGTCTGTGGCTACTTTGACCTCCAAACAACGGGTGATTCGCTCTTTCCGAGATCAATAATCGCTGATTCTTCTCTAAGACTTGGATCAGGATATTTATCAGTTGGGGAAGCTCTCTGCATTCTGGAACTTTGAGGGACATCCAGAGCTCCAACATGAAAGTTCATTGACTTTCCATACCCTAACTTTGTTGTCTGTTCGTCTGTAGGTCCGTCGTTGTTAAATGTTATCTCATTCTGGTGCTTCCAGATCTGTCTTTGTAACCTCATTTTTTTTAGATCAAGCACATTTTGCCTCTTGGCAAAATAATGTATCAAAACTTCTCAGCACTTGGGAAGTTCTAAGAGTGACTGCGATGGGTTGCAGGCTCCAAATAGGAATTGCAGCTCCTTGATTATTATGTATCCAAAAACCTCATATATGAAGAAAAAAAAATGAAAATAGTTTATCAATCATTTGATTGAATTCTTATCTCATTGTGTGCTAAGCATGACTTCCTCTCGCCTACCATCATCAAAATGTGAGCTACAGAGGTGATATGTGCAGATGTATGCAACGGACTCTTTTTTTTTGTTATTATTTATTTTTAAATTATCAAGTTTTCCAATCCTTATGTTGGGTTTAATATAAACAAAAAATATATATATAATCAAGTAAAAGTGTTTTACAAAGATAACAAAACGTTTTTTTAGCAAAAAACTTTGTTCATCTTGAGAATTTGTCTGTCGAAACAAACGGCTAGTTTGGTTTGTTTTCGGCAAGGAGAAAAAATAATCTTTTTTGTTAAGCCAACTGACAACGGACCGTTGTTATTGTTGCATTTTGAAGACAAAGCTGCCGTTTGTAGACATGGACTTAGAAAAGGTTGTCTTTTATTGTTTCAAAGATGTGCCGGGTTATAAAATTGTGTTGGGCGTGTTAATTACAATATGCCACTCCAATAAAAGGCATGATCAAAGGAGTTAGGATTATGAGAGAAAATGACTGGGTATGGGTCAACTACTTCATGATCACGGCCTTGGTATTTTCTTATTCCGTATGTGTTAGTAAGCAAGCACACAATAATTCCAAATAAATAAACTTGTAATAAACTTGTTATTTCATTTTCATTTGGGTGCATAGTACTATTTGACAGAGCCCCTCATAATCCGGAGGCTGTAGTGTAGATGTTTATAACAGCTTCAGAAAGATGTTTCAGCTTTCTTTTCCCATCTGCCTAACAAGGGGTCATGACAACTTTGCCTTTTCATGTCTAAGTTCCAGCTTTCCAGGGAAACCAAATACTTGAAAATGGTGGCCCAAAGAGCACTCAGCAGCTCAAGATGTTGAAAACCCAGATGCCATGAGGTTTTAACCTAGAGCTGCTGCAATGGACATCAATGGTTAGCCTTCATTGAGAAACTTCTTACTTGCACCCTCATTTCACCACCTTTTTATATTTATATTTTTTCAATCAAACCACCTGCCAGCCAATAGGGGAAACCATGATGAAAATGATGTGATGACCTTTACATCTTTATCTTTCAGAGATCTCAAGTCTCCACTTTCTGTCTGATATTGCCAATACTTTATTTTATTTTATTTTGTATTACCCCATATTCGTACCTTTCATTATATCAGGTAGCATTTATAGGGGGGACCCATTAAATCATGAAGAGCAACAATTGAAAGTGCCTACTATAATTTGGTTTATAACTTGACATTGACAAACACATTGATCTATAATAGGTTTGATAAAGACATAGCTGAGCATCAGAGAATCAGAGAGGGGGAGCGAGAGGGGTTACAAAGGGCAAAAAGGAATCCATTAAGCTAGTAGTAGTACAGAAAATTGTGGAAAGTCACTGCATGGCCCTCCCCAGAAACCTTTCTGAGGGAAACAATTAACATCCCACACAGCAGCAAGGGATGGAAACAAGGTTACAACTACTGGCTGCCAAAGGACCATGACAATAAAATCCCACCCCCAAACTACAGCCATTTTTCCATACATTACTTGTAATCTCCCCACCACCATAAAAAAAGAGAGGAAATACCGGAAAAGGAACGGTTGGGATATAACATCAGTTCAAAAGTTAATATTTTAACAGGCGATTGAGGTTGCTAGGGAAGTTACCAGAACAGCAGTAGTTCCAGTTACTGGCTGGAGACTAGCTGCATTCTCTAACCGCTCCCATGCTTCCTTCCGCTTCTTGGCTGCCGAACTTTGCTTTGCTTCTTCCTCCATATAGTGAGCATGGCTGGAGAGGAATAGCTGATCATCCATCTCCACAAACATCTTTCTGACATTTAGAGTTAAGTTGAGTACTGCTTGGTTCCAGTGGTTATGAGCATTCCTCTCCAAAGCTGGTAAAATAATGGGCAGAATCACTTGACGGTTATGTGCAATTAGGTTGACAATGTGGTCATTGTTCCAAAAGAAAAGGGCCCTTTCAGCCACCTGAAAACATTTAAGATAAGTTACAAATTGTTTTCCAAGGAATGAGCTAAGACGAGAATACATTCCTTGACAAACACATGAAGCAATCATCAAATTCCTTAACAATAATGTACACATGCCTAAAGTCCATCATAAAACTTATAGGTGTGAAATCTACTTCAAAATGAAGATAATACGAGTCAAACTGATGAATAAACAGAGATCCAATGGAAGGAGAAACTAAAGTTGAAGGGACAGTTACCTGGAAGTGGGAACTGTTAATACAGCATCCAATCCGGCAGAACAAAGGGACCATGACCTTCTGAAATTCCACCATGTTAACTGCCTCCAAAATCTCTTCTAACTCACCCAAGAACATCACCTCTTTCTGACTACTTGTTATTGGCCAGTATTTCAACAAACCCTTTATAACAACACTTGCCAACTTTGGCTCCTTCTCTATAAACTGCGTGATACAATACGACAACTGCTGGAAGTAAGACCCCAGATTTTTCGGCTTATGCAGAGGAATCAAAACCCTCCACAAGAACATTCTGTGTTCCTCTTTCAACGGCAATGCAAACCCACTAATAATACTCCCAAATATCTCCAGCAACTCAGCAATCCCATTATGTTTCTCAGTCTCAAACAAAAACCGATAGAATATATTGTTTATAGCCTTGCGAATAAACGGCCTATGAACCATGAACTTCCCATAAATCCTATGCAGAATGGTCTTCAAACAGTCTCTCTCTCTAGGGTCTTCGGAATCAAACAATTCAAGCAATCTCAAAATAAACGAATGATCTACATACTTCTTCGCTATTTTCGCATCAAGAAACGAAGAAGTCACGAATTTAAGCAGTAATTCATACACAATTTGCAAATGTGGCCAAGCAGGATCAAACATGGGCTCATCATCATCATTTTCACCCCCACCACCATTCCTGTAATTTGGCGGGAAAACTCTAAACAGATTAATAGCACACATTCTACAGGTTGCCAAAATAGCAGGCTCGCTAAATCTCATCGACCCAGATGCTACAAAGTCCACAAGTTCAAGCAATGTCTGCCTTTTAACATCTTTCTCTATAGAATTCTTAGTTGGGTCTGTGAAATCAAACGTTACACAGCAAAGGCTCACCTTGCTCACAAAGAGGTTCATCTTCTCCGAAGTGGGCACGTCCTTGAATGGCACCAAAGGCTCGATACCGGCCACCACACTAGCCGGGAACACCGCCGATGACATGCGTTTCGGGCCGTTTGATCTAACCGGGCCCACTCCACCGTTGGATCGAGGGGTTCCTCCGCCCACCCCGGACGGTCCGGTCCGGGAGCTGGACCGCGGCGTGCTCGTGCGCGGCGACTCGGGCCGCTCATCCGATTTGAGCGCCTTTCGCGGGAGTTTACTGAGGAATTGCTTGAGCATTGTGGTGAATTTTATGAAAATATCAAATAAAGACAGAGACTTTAGATCAAAAAGCCATGAGGGGCAGTATGATAAATTATGAAATTTTGGGGAAACCAAACCCTAACCTAGATCTCTGTCATAGATCTGGGGTTAAATGGGGAGCAAACAGATACAATGTATGAGATTTAGTGAGGCAAAGTTTTGAAATTGAAGTGGGCATTGATTAAAAATCAGATCTTGGCAATGTGGGTAGTTAGATTCTGATTTGAACCAGCACAAGAACAAGAACAACAATGAAATTTTGGGGCTTTGAGGGATGCAAGGTTGATTACATTTGAAGCTCACCAATCAAACATGAAACCTCTCAATAAATTTGGGGAGAGAGAGGAAGACATGTAAATATACATGAAGGTGGGGGTTATTTCAGGTTGATGTTGATTGCAAAGGTTTGAATCTGAAAGGCAACATTGAAAGATTTCAAAAAAAAGAAAAAAAAAGAAAGAGTTTTTATTTTTATTTTTTGCAGGTAGGGGAAGGAAAGAGAGAGAGAGATTCTGAGATGGAGATCTATGGAGTTTCTTTCTTATTTTGTGATTATGGGTTGCAGATTATTGTCTGTGATCTCCGTGAGAGAGAAATGAATGGACCCATCTTTGGGTTTTTACTGTCTTGTTTTTCTCTGTGTTTTCTTTCTTTTTCTTTTTGGATGCTGTCCACGGTGGAGGAGAAAATTAAGGCATTTTCTCGGGAAATGCAGGGTGTCTCTTTAGGACAGTGGGTGTTAATGAAGTGAGATTGGGTGTAATTAGATAAAAATGAAACTAATTTACCCCAAAATATTTTGAAATTGGGTTTTTGTTTTATCTATTTATTTTGGTTATTTAAATGGTGGATAAAACAGGGGTTTCTGTCATTCAGTGTGAGCTGGATGATGGAATTGATAAACTGATAACACGTAGTAATGTAGATTTGCTTTGGTAGTTTTCATTTCCTTGTTCTGTTTTGACAGGCACGTTGTGAATCACACATCACAATGAAGATTGGGACATCTTGGAAAATTTATTGTAATATAATACAGATTGCGACATGCATAATGTCTCATGATGCATGTAGAAAATCTAGCCTTCATTTGTTTTTTCGTGGGAAAAAAATCTAGGCTCCATTTTGAAAGGGTTTTAGCTAAGATTATTATATATATATAAATTATTTTCTTATTTGGATGTCTGTATGTTATTATCATGCAAATGTTATTATAAACATACAGAAAAACATGGAGGAGTATTACAAAATACATGACATCTGCATGATAATAACGTTTGGATGTCCGCTAGGAAATTTTCTGTATATAAATTATTCTTTTATTCGAATGCCAGCAGATTATTATCATGCGGATGCTATTGTAAACATACAAGAAAGCAAGGAGAGGTAGTACAAAATACATGGTGTCCGCATAAAAGAATTTGTGTATATATATATATATATATATGTGTGTGTGTAGTTTTAATTGATTGACTGCATTAGTACATTGGTGGACCCAATGAATGACTACTGTGGGCACTTGCCCACACTTACAAAAAAGTTGCAGCCAGATAATCCCACCCAAACTCACGTTTTTTATTTTTATTTTAGGTCCTTCTTAGGTGGAGTCCCCACATGGTCCATTCAATATGTACACTTTAAGCTCAAAACTTATACTATAAAAGAAAAATTATATGTTATAAAAGAAAAATAAAGATCCTACCAAGTTCACTCATTCTATAATTTTGTGGAGAACTCAGCCACTAAGTTCACTTTAAGCCTAAATATTTTTTGTTTGGCTATATATTAGTTGGATTAATTTTTAAGCCCCCAGATGAACGAAAGTCTGGGTCTGCCACTGCATTAGTACCAATATGTATAGAATCAATCATACTTAAAATAGGAAGAAAAGAAACATGGTGGATTTCAATTATTTTCAAACAAAAAAGTATATCTAAATTATATTTTCTTCTTATTGTTATTTCAATTTCACTTAATATACCAAAATACATGTAGTTTTGTTTTAAAAATAATAATGGGGGTGAGCACAAAACCTTAGTCAACTAGCCTAAATCACGTATGCATGTCATAAAGCACTGATTTTATGAGACAAATTTCTTTAATCTTAACCTTTTTTTTATTTTTTTTTATGCAATTCAACCAATACCTATTTGAATATTGTCCGTTGTGAATGATGGTCGTATTTGTGTTTGGCCTCTGATTAAGATAGAGCTAAAAAGAAGATTTATGTTGCTTACACAGTCATCCGTAGGCATGTGAAATAACAAGAAATAAGAATTCATATACTATTCAATTTCCTTAAATACTATTCAATTTCCTTAATTATTAGTCAAACTTTACAACAGATATTTTAGAAAAGAAAACATTTAATATAGTCATGGTGCTATTTACCGTATACAGGACTAGTTTGTTGTGATAGAGGGAGAGTATTTGACATCTACGGGTACATGTGTTTTATATTGATCAACGATTAGAGTCGTTCAAACGTATTGTTCCAACATATTGAATTGAACTCATAGAGGGAAAAATACATTTAATATAGTCGTAGTGGTATTTCCGTATAAAATACTAGTTTGACATTTGCTTTAAAAAGCCAATAAGAAAATAGAAAATTGAGAAGAAGAAGGATGAAGTTGCCGGTTGGAGTTGGGAGACATCAACTAGAGGAGGAGGGGCAGGTGGAGTATGACGTAAGCAATAAGCAGGGCCGTTAACGATTTCCACAAAGTTCAGGGAGGAAACTGATATTTGCCAAAAAGGACACGGAAACCGAAGCTACCCCGAAAATGAAAAATGCTAAAAAAAGAAAAAAAAAGAAGGCAAAAGGGATAATTAAAAATTATAAAAGAAGGAAAAATTCTTTTCTTTTCCTCAACGAAGGTCCAAAGCTGAGTCTTGACAGCACGACGCTATTTTTCTCTAAATTTCTCGCTCCCTCCAAGTACCAACAAAAACCCACCTAAATTTCATAGCAATCACTCGATTTCCAGACGGCGCTACCTTATTTTCTACACCTTCTTCTCCCTCTCACTCTGCTTCAATCTGGTACTCTCTCTCTCTCTCTCTCCGTGTATGTATAATTGTATATGTGTAAGCAGATTGGGAATCAATAATTTATGTGAAAAATGGTTTTTGTTTTTGGGTTTAGGTTTTGAATTTGAAAGTGGGTTGTTGTGTTTTCGATTCTTTGAGTGTTGGGTCGTTCTTGAAGAATAATTAGCATATTTGAATTTTAGGATTTCGATTGGTATATATTATTGAAATGGTATTAATCAACTGTTGAATTGAAGGCATAGTTTACCCATTGGGAAATTCTTGAACGTATGCTATAGAGAAAGAAAGGGTGAACTGATACCTGCTGTTTGGTTGCTGAGAAAATCTAGGAAAAGAGTAGGGAGTTGAACTGTGAGTAGAATTTTGTTGTTGAACAATAATATTTTTTAGCATAGTCCCTGATTTGAGTTTTTTTTATTGATTGTTTCCACTGGTTGAACTAACAAAGTCCTTGGATTCTTATTTTCCCATTGTACCTCTTTTATAATTTTTCTATCAAAAGCAAAATGTTGCTTTGAGGATATGACTAATACAATTCTGATTTAATATTTTGCTCTTGAACAGGATTGATATTGTTAAGCTTTCCGCATCTCGTGGTGCCACATAATCTATGTTGGTTGGTTCAGCATAGGTCTTTAGGACGAGAGTGAAATTTGGTTAGCACATTTGAGGAGACGAACATAAAGGTGGGATTCTTGCTCTAAAGATCTATGCATTCCTGTTCAGTGTTGTCTCGGTGGACTTAGATGGATGTTGCGTCATTGAAGCTTCCCCTTGAAAGTCAAACTTACACTTCCTCGTTATTAATGGAGCAATCACGACCTGAAGATATGAACGGAAATGAGCATATTATTCACATAACTGGGAGTAGTGATGCCTCCTCATCTAGCTTGCCACATGGTAGATCTTTAAATAGCTTAAATGCATCACAGCAAGAAGACAGACCTTCAACTAGTCCAAGAGCACCCACATTTCAACCTTCAATTTTTTCCTCTAATGGATCAAACTCTAGGAACAATGCAACAGGAAGGAGAGGGGATACTCGCCGCCGCAGAAGTCCGTTGAATTCTGGATTATGGATATCTATTGAACTGGTTCTTACTGTGAGCCAAATTGTTGCATCTGTTGTTGTTTTGTCCTTGTCAAGGCATGAGCATCCTCGCACTCCATTGTTTGCATGGATTGTTGGTTATGCATCTGGATGTGTTGCTATTCTTCCTCTTCTGTATTGGCGCTATTGTCACCGCAACCAGGTTTCAGAACAAGATTCTGCTCAAGCCCGTCACAGTTCTCAGATTAATGTACCAGCAAGACCATTTTCTCTTTCTGTTTCTAGGACTTCTGAAGGAGATCTTCAGACTACCACTGCATCTTCTAGAAGCAGTCAAAGTTCGGAAGTACTAAGCAGAAGGTATGGTTTACTGTTGTTTTTCAGGCATTGTGCTTTATAAAATGAAACATATTGTCCTTGTTTGGCATGCATTTTGTGATTCTCTTCCTAAGTTGCATGATTATTAATGATATTTAAAACATTTTATTTTATTCAATGAAGGTTGAAGCTCCATGTAGACTTAAAATTATAGAGACGGCATGTTTCTTGGCATTATCATAGACTATGTTTAGAGTTGTGGCTGCATCATTTTGAGTGAAATTACAATGTGCCTGCATTGAATGATTCTTTCAGAACAGTCATATTGTTGTGCCCCTTACCTACCCCAATCCCTCTCCTGACCCCAAAAGAAAGTAATTAAACTCCTTGGAGATGAGTACGCTCAGTTTTCATTGTTAAAGTTAAGTTGTCATAAGTGCCATATTGATAGTTCATCATAAAGGCTCGCTCGTGTCTTTTGTTGTCTCTATTATGTGATATCAGTGGGAGCTTACAGAAAATGAGAGGTTAAAAGAAGAGATGGTTTGGATTTTCGCACAATTTGGGAGCCTACATGTTTTGGGAGTTCACACAATTTGGGTTCCTCTTGTCTTGATGTTTTAAAATTCCTTGAACGCACATGTTGAAGTTACACAACATGGGTACAGTTTAGGGATCTGTAACAAATCCTTTGTGTGAAAGGATCTTGGTATCTGGAGTTTTCTTTTTGCTTCTCTCTGTTAAAAGTCTACAACCATATTGATGAAGCTCCAATGTTGCTGTCTCATTCATGGGTTATTTTTTCGTATTTATATTTTTACCTGAAGAATATTCCAATTTATTTGAGCTAAATCCATTTTGGTCTGTGTCACTTGTTGCTATAAATTAATGTCAAGATCTTCTGGAGTGGTAATTATTGTCTATTTTAAGAGAACGGTAAATTTTGTTTGATTTAGTATAGTCCTTTAGAATTTGACAGTTACTTTCCCTTTCAATTTATGTTTTAATCAGGTTAGTGTTATTTGCTTTATGATTCTTTCTATATTTTAAATTGTTTATCCATGAGAAGCCTATGTGTCTATTTGTTAGAAATTATGTTACTCGGTTTGCCTTGTCGAGAGAAGGTAACTTGAGTTGCAAGTTTAATAAGGAAGCTAGTACTGGAAAAAGTTGTTTGACACGTGAGGTCATTTTTGTCTAACAGAGTCAAGGTACTTGTGGAATACTTTAAGATGGCATTGGATTGTTTCTTTGCGGTTTGGTTCGTAGTTGGCAATGTTTGGATTTTTGGTGGGCACTCATCTGCCAGTGAGGCTCCTAACCTATACAGGTACTTTCGTCAATCTGATTTACTTTTCCAGTTCTGGATTTTTTGAGTGAGGAGATCATATCAATTTTTCTCCATGCAGGTTATGTATAGTATTTCTTACATTTAGTTGTATCGGATACGCCATGCCTTTCATTTTGTGCGCAACAATCTGCTGTTGTCTTCCTTGTATAATATCTGTCCTTGGATTTCGAGAAGACCTGACACAGGCACGAGGAGCCACACCTGAATCAATTAATGCTCTGCCAACATACAAGTTCAAGTTAAAGAAAAACAAAAATAGTGACAATAGAGATAGCAGCAGCGCAGGTGTCTCTGAAGGTGGTGTTGTGGCTGCAGGAACTGAGAAGGAGCGTGTGATCTCTGGAGAGGATGCGGTATGTATGGTCCAGCAAGTTTAGCGAAGTACAAGTCTTCACAATATATTTAGGACCTATGCCTGACTAGTGACTAGTGATTAAATGAGTAATGAATGCATGATATTACTTGGTGAATTACTTTTCTTCTCTGACACTAAGATAGTAGTATTATAACATGACATGCCATTTGAAACCTGCTTCCTCCCGTATTCATTTGAGTGTTGTGATTCTGTATCCAGTCAGTCAAGTTCCTGATCAAATTGGAGACTAGATTTTAAATGTTTGACACTCTTTACACTGAAACTATCAAATGTGTTTTGATTTGGCATTTCTTGGTGTCACTATTTGTCTTGGAATCTAGTAGTACCCTACTGAAAATTTAGTAGAGGGTGGTTTGATGCTAGATTTTACCAGATATGTTTGCCTGGTGGTATGGTTAATAAAAGTATTATGTATTTTTTTCTTTACAGAGTGGTTCCCTTTTCCTTCTTTTTTGGGAAGCCTTTGCCCAGCTATTGTACTCGATATTACTAATAATGTTGTAAAATTGAACAGGTTTGTTGCATCTGCTTGGCAAAATACTCAAACAATGATGAGCTGAGAGAGTTGCCATGTTCTCATTTTTTCCACAAGGAGTGTGTGGATAAGTGGTTGAAGATCAATGCATCTTGTCCCCTTTGCAAAAGCGAGGTTGGTGAGAGCATTTTGGGCTCTCTCTCCGCGATCAGTGGCACTCAGCAACGCAGTGATAGTAGGGTAGGCAATGAAGTGGCCAACACTATGTTTTAGGCACAGAATGTATGACCCTTCTTGGCTTCAAGTACGCCGATGCAAGAATCTTGTTTCAAAATGGATGGATGATTGTCCAAGTTCAAGCCTTCCTTTTTGTAACTGTTTTTCTTAGGTGTGAGGAGCTTGGTAGAGATGCACGCAGGCAGAGCTGCCTTTGAGGCTTTGACAGTGTTGAAATGGCAATGTGGAGCTCTTGTTTGTTGACAATGTAAGTAAAAATGATTTTTGCATTTCAACGACGCATGGATGTAAAGATCAGAGAGAGGTTCCATGATTTGTAGTTAGATAATAATAGATGGATTCTTGTTTGTACAGTTATACCTTCTCCTTTCTTCTCCATTTATTCTTACGGTTGAGCTGTTATAATAATATTGATGACAATGTAAGCAAAAATAATAGATTTGCCACAAAAAAAATGATTTTATTTTAATTTTTATTTATTTATCATAGAGCATTAAAGAACCCCAACTTTATTCATGCATACAAACTCGTATCTTTCAGAATGAGCTAAACTAGGACAAAAAGACAAGTAAATGTCATTGCAAGTAGTGAGGCATCAGACCACATGGATATTGAAGTTGTGAGAATCATTTGTCTACTTTTGGTGAAAATTTATTTATTTTTGTAATAATGCCTATTCCTGTCTGAACATAAGGTTCTCTTGAAAAGGCTTTTTACCTGCACAGGGTCTCATGGCCACCAGAAAAAAAGAAAAAAAGTTAAAGAAAAAAAAGAATAAAGAGAACACTTGTGAGGTTCAAGATCCGTAGGACAACATGCATATTTGTTGCTATTTCATGCTCTATGCCAATTTTGGGGAAGGGTCCAATTACTGTCATTTGCCATCTGTTAATAATCAGTGGAGCTAGTTATGTTGGAATCCTGGGACTACCCACCATTTTAAGCAAAGCAAAGCAAGGGAAATGGATATATCCTGGGAAAAAACTTGATCTGAGATTTTCTTATTCTGAATACAGATTAATGGTTGGGACTGACTCAGTGCATCTGCCTTGTAGGAAACTATATTGTAAAGAAATACAGAACAGTTAAGGATATAGCAAAAGAAAAGTTAAAAGGATACAAGCAATGACACAATACATGAACCTAACACTGATTGCTGACAACAAAATATACAAAAAATAATGAATGTATATCAAACAATAGGTAATTTGGCACATCACTGTTTAAAATTCCGGCATTCATCCCAGTGCAGATAAAGCACAGCCTACAAACTAAACAAATGCAGCTTTGACTTGTATGTATGTGACTTCAAAGCTACCCCAACTGTTGGCCAATTTACAATGGAAAAGGTCATGACATACTCTTCAACCGGCCAAAGTTCGTTTAAGTCCAGCTCTTTGCTCTGGGGTTAATCTTGTAGGGAACCTCACCTCAAATTTGATCTTCAAATCACCCTGGTTACGAGGCTCTTTTGGTACTGGCATGCCCTCCCTGGCAACAACAAGTTCGTAGCCCGGGCTCACAATGTCAGTCACCGGGATGGATAGATCACGACCATCCAGCGTGGTGAGATGCACTGTGGTTCCACCCAATGCCTCCGCTAATGTCACTTTGTGGTTCACAATGAGGTCATTGCCGTCTCTCTTGTATGTGTCATGGGGCTTCTCATCAATCACAAAAACAAGGTCTGCTGGCAGCTGGCCAAGCTGCTCATTACCTTTATCTGGAAATGTAATCTTGGTTCCCTTCTTCCATCCTGGCTTCACATCAATGGTCAATATCTCTTGTTCTGGCACTTGACGTCTGGAAATTTCATTTTACCCAATGAGAAAAAAAAACAGGATTATCATTTATAAAGATCATATCTTAGCTAAATTGATGCTCATTTGAGCCATTTAATAAACTGACTAGCATTAGAATCATAAATAACTACCATGTAAGGCAGATGAAATACTGCAAGTACTAATTGCTATATCCTATTTAAATTATAACCAATTAATCTATAGCAATAAAGGAAACAAAGAAATAAACTGGGGACAGTGTTAAAATGAATTACCCATTTGCATCAACCACAGTTCTTGAGATCTTCATTTTCCTTGTTGATCCAGTATACAGCTCCTCAAGGCTGCAAGGCAATTTGCTCTCCACTGCTGTTGGTTTCTTTGGTGTAACACCCTCACTATATGATCGGAAAATATTTTCGTTTCCTCCAAATCCGCCAAACATTCCCCCTCCTCCATCAGATTGGAATCTCATAGACCTCCCAGGTCCGGTTGACCCAAATCCGAAAGGACTACTTCCAAAGAATTCTGCAAATATATCCTCTGCATTCCTAGGATTAAATCCTTTTGATCCACCTCCATTTCCATTTGCATATCTTTCTGGAGGCGGCATATCTTTCAGTCCTTCTTCGCCATACTGATCGTAAATTGCTCTTTTCTGAGAATCGCTCAAGACCTGAATTCACAAAAAACATTTCATTCTGTTATTTTCACTCTGTACATCCCAATCAATTCACTGCTTGCAGATATGAATGAGCATAGATGCTTTCATTCTTTTTTTTTTCTTTTAATTTTGATCAACCACACGCCATTCGGTTCTTAAAGAATTCCTTGTTGGAGACGGAACAGAAAATAAAAGTCCACCTGAATTGAGCCTGACACAATTAATTACTTGATCTTCTTAAGAGTTACGCAAATGCTATAAATCCCATTATTTGAAGTCCCATTGTAATCATTCTTGGCTGACTACCCAATTCTCCAAAGAACAAAAACCAACTTTCAGAAACATTAAAGTTTTGTTCTTTCTTATCCTACATTTGCATTGCAATCATCCAGCGTATGAAGTCTTGAACTATGAAAATTGACAAAATCAACAAGCTTAAACCTTTTTCTTCTGTTTATTTTGCCTTTAAAAATTTGTTTACCTATCTAAATATGCATATAGAAGAAGGAACATGTAACAAAAATAGCAGAAAGAAAGAGAACATGCCTCATATGCCTCGGAGATCTGCTTGAATTTGGCTTCTGCTTCTTTCTTGTTATTAGGATTCTTATCAGGGTGCCATTTCATGGCCAGCCTCCTATAAGCCTTCTTTAGATCATCCTCTGTAGCATTTCTGTTCACCTTCAATACGTTATAATAATCCACCCCCATCTTCTATACCTCCAGAAAAAAAAAGATTGTTGATCTTCAATCACTATCAGATCAGGTGCAATTCTTCAAAGCTACAACCTTTGACAAAAACCCAGATCAGCATCCACCTTTCTTCTCTCTCTCTAAAGCCAAAATCACACAATTCAAGATGGTCAAAGATTGTCTGAGGCTCAGAAAGAAAGAAGCAAATGGTGAAATGGGTTCTTTCAGAAATGATTAGATTAGTCTTCTTCAGAATTGTTGATATTGTATTTAATATATGATGATGACTCGACGATGCATTCTTGTTTGTTTTAGTGTATGTTTTGTTAAGAGTTAAGACCGCGTTTGATGGATATTGTATCTTTTTTAACTACCGAAGCTCACGGACATATTTCTGGCACCTCTACAAATTAACCGCACAAACAAACTGTCTGTAATTTAATTAGCTGAACCCTGAGTGCCTCACATTATCACATAACAATGACGGCTCAAGAGTGAGGCTACGTTTGGATTACTTCTCCAATTCCCAAGCCTCCAACTAAGTAAGCCGGAGAAGAAGAACGAAAAGAAATCCAAACGTGAGCTGGTCATAAAATGGGCCTAGCCTCAATCTTTCCCTTTAAGAAAACTAGCCCTGGCACACGCTCGCACATGTACCCATTGGTTTTATTTTATATTTTATATTTTATTTTTCATCAACCCTGTTTTCTTTCCTAGACGACATGACAAAATGAAAACTTTCAAGCCTGGTCAAAATGGATCAATTTCTCTTGCTCGTTACGAGTGGAAAAGTTGTTTCATCTAAAAAACCGGGGGAAACGTCAACATGATGAAAAAGATCACTGATTTATTAAAGGCATTGCGGTTAGTAAGTTTCGTAGTAGGGCGAACGTGAAAAGACAATATGTTCTGTAAAAATAGGACTTATTATCTAATTTTGTTTTTAATTTTTTAAATTTAATAAAGTGTGAATTTACCATATTATCCTCTTTTAATTAATAATTTCAATTATTAACGTTTGCATTAACCAAAGCATTTTGTGGTACTTTGAATGTTTCACTATTCTCTTCCTTTTGCTTTATATATATAGATAAAAGGGTGAAGTACGTGTACAATACGACATTCAGAAGCATATCATTTTTCATTGCAGAAAACCGTAAAGCAGCGTGACGTTTGCACTGTGAGCTTTTGGCCCATAATACCCGAAGGTGTCGAGAAAAATGTTAATGAGAGATTAAGAACAAGCATCTAAGAAGCTATACAACCATTATCAAACAACTATGTGTGCATGATGTCCATGACCCCAAGATAAGATCCTCTATTTATATACTTGTTGCCCATAAACCAAACATGTCAAGGTAAAACAACTGACATTTTCTTGTTTTCCACAAAAAACGAACAGCAGATGACGATAGGAGCTACGAGTTGGGTGAACCGCTGGCTTCACCTGCTACATTCTTCAGTTTCCATGCACTATTGCCTGGCAACCCAGATTCAGAAACATCTCCAATGTCCAAAGTGTCTGGAAGACTTTCAGAAGACTCAACCGTGTAGAACTGTAAGAGACAAACCAATTTTCAGGATGAATGCCAAAGTTAATCTGAAGTGTTCTTAAAGAATTATAGTAAAGGCAAATAATCCAAACATGTAAGCCAAATGATAGAGTTTATCTCTGAGCTGATGTTGATAAACATAGACACAAAATTTCTATAGTTTGATGTCAGGAAACAAACAGCCGGAGATGGATATCCAGAATATTCTCAACTTTATAAAGTTCATAATAAAACTCGCCTACCAAACAACAAGTTAAATACATTCTAGCCAATCGAAAACCATTCTTCCTTATCCAATACAGAGTTTCACTGCCTGTCCAATATACAATTATATCAAGGGAGCAAGATTTCTCATATAAATAAGAAATGTCATAAACAATCAACATGGCAAAACATATTACTGTCACTATGAGTCAATTAAATCACACAGTAATTGCACCACCTACCAACATGACAAAGCATGCAAAGTCAAATGAACTTGCAATAGAGAAAATTTTCAAAGAAAACGAGGAGCTTGATTATTCTTTTTTGTTTTAATTAGTCGGTGACATGAACACAGCACATACACAGTTTATGCTTCAAATTTGATAAAGACCTTCCAATTTTGACCTGTAACTGTTTCAAAATTGCAAGCAGCATTATTTAAGTATTTATAATGTAATTCATAGCAACATAATTGTAGATGGACAGATGGTAGAGGATAATGTATGACTTTACCGAATGAAGAATATTTAACTACACCAAAAAAAAAATGGAAGTCTCACCTCAAGTTGGTTCAGCATGTCAATGGTGGCATCCAGGTCACCCTTATTTGCCAAATAAACATCAGTAAGGGACTCGTCAGATATACCAGGAAATGTCATCTCAAGATAATCCAAAGCCATATCAAAATCTTCATGTGCTGTCACTTCATTCACATTCTGTGAAGATGAACCATAAGAACCATGGGCAGGGTAGCTCTTTACAGCAAATGACTTTGGACTGGGGAGTCTTGCAGTACCAGGGGCATCAGATTCAAGATAAGATTTGCTATGCTGTTGATTCTGGGAATTATTCTGTGGGGTCCCAAACCAGACTGCCTCATTGCTGCGGCTAGAATCTTTCGTCGCCACATACATTCTATCATCCGTCTCCCTTTTGGAGAGTGGAATGTATGCTGCTGCATAGGGATTCAAAGAAGACAATCCTGGCTTCATGGTCTCAATTCATAAAAATCTGCTACTTTGAAAGAAATGCAAAACCGGATATTATCAGACAATATTAATAATGTAATCATATATGAAACAAAAATATAAAGCTTTCATGTCAAAATAAGCTGGGATTCCACTAATAAAGAGATAAAATCCTGGGTCTTACTTTACTTTGAATTTACTCAAAGGATAAGCTAATTGTTGTACCAAAAAATTTCAGTTGATGGTGAGAGTGTAACTGACGAACCCAAAACATATCATATCTATGACCTTTGATTAGATGAAAAGAGGAAGACCCTAGAGGACTGATCTTGAAAACACCATTCAAACTCGTGTGCAATTTAATCACATAAGATTACAAATCCTTCACAAACAACTAAACCAAACAAATTATTCAATCCACTAATCCTTCAGAAACCAAACCAGTCAAAGTTAGTGCCTCAACTTGTCAAGAACTCAATTTCATATCTCATATCCACATAAGAAGATACACTACATCAGATCACTATCCAATATCCACACAAGAAGATACACTACATCTGATCACTATCCAATTTCCTCACGAAAAGATAAAAATGATATAAGTAAACAACCTCTAGATCAAGATTCACTTCAACAAAATCCATATTTGATTATTGCTTTTCTCATTAGACTTCAAGTAATCAATCAAGTATAAAATCCCGCTTTCCACAAAGTAAACAAGAACAGAATACACATACGGATCAACAAAATCTCAAACCTCAGATAATCAACTCGAATCTCATCGCAAAAAAGAAATTCCAAAACGCGGATCATCGTAATATGAAACCTAATTACGATCAAGATCAAAGAAAAAAAAAGTTAACAGCATGAACCAACGAAGGTCAATGAGAACTCACAGAGAGCGAGGAGGCGATCTTGAAATCCAAAGAAGAAAAACGAAGAACTCGAAATCGCCGAAACCCTAGTTCCCGAGATCGCAGAGGACGCAGAAGAAAAAAGAGCAAATGATTTTCGGGGAAATTCTTCTATTTTTCGCTCTGTGAGAAATGTTTAGTGTATCGGAAAGCTAATAATAAAAAGTTCCTTCTCTTCACTTTGCATGACACGGACGTTTTACTGGGTTTACTATAACAGTTTTGGGCCCTGTTTGGAGACAGGGTTAGTTGTATTCTATTTGAGTTTTATGACTAAGCATACGATGTGGCATAAAATGATTGGTCAGTGGTTAATCAGACCACATACCCTCTTATTACAAGGACACGTGTTAAAAAACTGGGTTTTTAACATTTTTGTTGGGAGTTGGGTCCTCTATTGAGTGGATGAGCCAAGCAAGAAAAGAGAGAAAAGCAGAGCAAAAGAAAGTAGAGAGCAAAAATGGTTGTTCTCTCTCCTTCTCTCTCTCTCTTCACATCCAACCAGCTTGTTCCTTCAAAACTCTTTTTCAGGTACTTTCTCTCTCTTAATCTTATCATGGACAGGAATGTGTGAAAGAATATTTCTCTGTATTTTTATTTATCTCTTTAAATTATTGGTTCTGTTTTTGGGTTGGTGCTTAGAGAGCAGGCTAGAACTGTGATGCAGCAGAGCAAATGGCAGCCATGTTCAAGTGCCATCTCAAAACCCACTTTGCAAAGTGGGTTTTGCAGAAGGGAGTTGTTGCTCTTTGGCCTTTCTGCTCCAGTGCTTGTAGTGTTCCCATCTTCAGGTGAGCTTTCTCAATTCACACTTTGGTAATTTGGTCAGTTGATTTTTACAGTCTCTGAAGAAACTGGGAAGAACATGGAATTTTTTTATTATATATATTTTATATATTTTTTTGGAAATATGTTATGGTTAGTATACATTTTCTGAATATAATCTCTAATAATTTAAAATTCTTTTTTGTATCTTTGTAATTAGCAATTAACAATAGGGAGATTCACTAATATACCCAATATGGGAGCCTAAATTATAAAAAAACCCTATATGAAATGGAATTTATAAACACACCCAAAGCCCATTTATAACATAACAAAAAGGCTTTTAACTTCTTTTAAATTACAAAATTGCCATTGATTTCTTAAAACAAACCCAACCCAAAATTTCATAAAAAAGCCCAAAACACTCAATAGGGTATCAAAGTAATTTAATAATTAAAATTAAATTTAATAGTACCATTTGTCATTTTTTGGGTTTTTTTTGGGTATGTTTATAAAAATGAAATGATGTAGGGTTTATTTATAGTTTTAGTGCTAAGAATGGGTATATTACTAAATATCTGCCACTGTTGTTGCAGGGTCCCTTGCAGAGGAAGACTTGAAAATGGCTACATTTGTTGACGAAATAAATTCCTGTTCTTATCTATACCCAGTGGAGTTGCCATCTAAGAAGGTCATTTTCAAATGGTATGCAATGTGCCCCTTTTTCGATACGTGTATGTATCGTTGTTGTTGTTACTTTTCGGTTCAGAGGAACAAATTTGAATCTGAACGGAAACTTTTGAATGTTCATAACCTTTTGAATCATGCATTATTTTCTTTAAATGAGACGCTGATAATAGTTTTCTTTTTCCTTTTTTAGCACAAAAACCAACTAGTTGAATTATTTGCAATTATCGTGGCATATAAATTGTAGGAACCTGACTATTTTCATGTATTTCAAGGGTGGAGTCAAGAAAGCCAGAACGCTATTCATCAGCTGCACCATTATCTCGTAAGTTCAGCTTCAAAAATAGAATGATGAAAGTCTTTCAACAGAAACCTGACTAGAAACTGTTTTATATATTATACAGCTGATGCACGGCTTCGCATTGTTTCTGAGCGTGTTGACATTGTTGATAATCTCATCATTTCTATTTCGGTAACTCCTGATAAGATCACTACTCATCAAGTGCAAATCCCTTTAGTTATTTTTCAAAGGTTTATAATTTAATTTTCTTTGATTCAGATAGGTCCTCCGAATTCAAAGATTATAAAATCACCAGACAAGAGTACATGGACTGCAAAAGATGTTGCTGATTCTGTTTTGGCTGACAAGTCTGCATTGGTAATATTGCACTGGCTCTTTTCTAATAGCTTTTGATTTTAAGGCTGGCTGAATAGAAAAAGTTTGTTACGATTGATTGTCAACGTGTAATTTTTTAAACAAGTTTAACTAGGACTGAAAGAAATATTAAAAAGTGAAACCTTAGGCATGATTGATTATCCCGAACCGGAGGATCTTGAAAAATCAAGTGTACTAATTTTGATGTAACTGTGACATGATAATACATTCTTAGGAAGCATCCCAAGGGAGGAAATTGTCCAGTAAAACAACGACGAATCGAAAAACCAATTTGCCTTCAATTTGCTTGGGTAGAATAGCCTGTAAAGAGGATTGTGGTTGGATGGGATGGAGCAGTCCGTTGTAGAGTTACCTAACCAATTTTTGGGGGAATATTCTATAGCCTTGACTGCTTGATGTTGTCAAGTTGATGCTTGTTTGATCTGACGTGCTACAATTCTCTGCAGCGGGTCACCTCAAGTCAGCGCATGGCGGAGAGTTCAGTTCTTGATGCACATTCCGGTGAAGTAAGCTTCCCACACCTTTTTGGGTTTACATAGCTGAAACCGTCGTTGTAAAATCTACTTGGCGACATATGAAGCTTGATCATTTTTATTCCTCAGATTGCTGGTGAGCCATACTGGTATTATGAGTACCTTGTTCGCAAAGCACCCACGAAAACTGTAAGTGTTCTTTCTAAGAGCAGTTTTCAGTTGAATAAAAATTCGCTCACTGTCCTGGTTTCTTCAGGATTCTTACAACAGTTAAAAATTGTGCAGGCTGAAGAATCTAACAATTATAGGCACTATGTAGCTTCAACAACCGAAAGAGATGGTAGGAAAATAGTTTCTTTGTTCAACCATTCCAGTGCTAAACATAAGATTTTTCATTTCGTTCTTTTTTCTCATCATTATCTTCATTACGCATACTTGTGGGGGAGAAGATGCCATTTGATTAAAAAAGTAACGGCTATGTTTTTATTGGGTTAATATTGCAATATAAAACCTGTCATTGAATCTTACAAAAACTCAATTGTAGGTTACTTGTACTCTATAAATGCTTCAACTCTCAACAAGCAGTGGAATATAGTAACTCTCTCTCTCTCTCTCTCTCTCTCTCTCTCTCTCTCTCTCTCTGTGTCTGATGAAGGAAATGAAGTTTTGTTGTTATTTATATCTTCTGCTTACATATAATTATTGATATGCATTTTATGTGATGCAGGTTGGGCCTATCTTGCAAAAAACTATAGCTTCTTTTCACCTCCTCCCTCCCACAGAAAACTATGTTCCTCCATACAAGGATCCATGGAGATTTTGGTGATAGTGTACTCGATTTTGTTGTCCCACTAATTTTTCACTCATTTATTCCATCAACATTGAAATTTTGGCTCTACGTTCCATTACGTTTCTCTTTGGGTTGATGATAAGTAAAGGGTAGATGACAAATTTGTATGCAAATTCTTTAGTTAATTGTTTTTTCTTTTGGCATTTAAAACTAATCCCACATCGACTGGGAGAAAAGAGTGAGTGGGAAGAGTTAATATAAAAGAGGATCAGGGAGAGCGTTAAAACGTACTTACCTGGACAGGGTCAATGGGCGATCAAGAGGGCCCATGGCCTAGGTTGGTGACCTCCATTGCACTCAGGAGGGGTGCCTGTCTATGGTCTCCCCAACGTGGGAGAGCCAATGTCATAATTTGTGCCAGCGGGGGCCTGCGTTCGCGCGGCCCCTGACTAATTTTAGTCTAACCTTTTCAGAGAAAAATAATAATTTCAATTATGATCCACAGGCCCCTGACTAATTTTAGTCTAAACTTTGCAGAAAAAAATAATAATTTCAATTATGATACATTGTGGACTGGTAAATCTAATGTTCTGAAGTAAGAATAAAATTTATGAGTGAATTTTTTATCAGAACACTTTGAATAATTTGGGAATTTTATTGAGTGAATATTTTTATCAGAACACTTCTGATCGAAAGGAAAAATAAATAATAATAAAACGCAATTAATATGATAGAAAAATCCAGCCAACTATGTTTTTTGGTTGGAGGACCTTTTCTATTGAGAATGAAGGAGCTATACTAACAAATCTCGAATAAGAGTTTAATTGCAATTACCAAGTGTTGGAAACTTAGAACCGGTAATTTTCTTTCATTGATAATATTGAACTATTTACAAAGTGAACGCATTGAACTTACAAAGGAGCTCATTCAATTTTGAGCAAAGAATAATTATACATAATCAGAAACTTAAAAAGTAAAGGAAGAAGAAAGAAATAGAACGTATAGCTAACTGAGATTTCAAAGCTCCAATTGAAGGCTTGATCTGATCCACAGAAAAGTTAGAGCTAAAAGAAAATTGGCTAGCAGACTAATCCTGAGACGTAGCAGAATATTCGAAAAGGAGGCGTTTTGACGGAGCAGACTGTAGGAGAACCCGCAGGCGGCTCGAAAGCTGGTAGATTAAGGTCCATTGCATTGCCATCTCTGAGTCCTTCATTTGCCTAACAATTGTGGCCTGAGGAAAAAAATACTCTTAAATGATCATAAACAAAACTTGAAGGAAAATAAGTAAAACAGTATCAATCAATTAATTCCCCTATAATAAATGGAAATATCAAAATTTGAGAGGCAAAAGAATTGAAAGCAGGTTGAAGAGTTTCATTAAGATAACCTGAAGACGTTTCCCAAGTTGGACTTCAACTTCTGTACCAAATGAAATATTACTGGCCAGGGATTTGAGAGGATCCACCGTAGGATCAACAGAAAGCAAACTAGGGATCTGTGGTGCATACACTAGCCTCCACCTTGCCTGGCCAAACTCTCCCTTCCCTTCTATTCTTGGCATCAGTTTTTCGAGTGTTGTAGTTGCAAGCTTTTGGAACGCAAGCTGCCCATCGTTTTCCAAGATGGACTCTGCCAATTGACTTTCGAAAACTCTGGCAGCCTATGAATATGGGGAAAATGGATCAGATCAAAGTGCCAGTAAGTCTAGGGCATGAAAGAAAACTTGAACAAAGTTTTGCAAATCCTAAATCAGAAATCCAGGGCAAATAAAACAAATGTGAAAGTAGATTTCACGAGTGACCTAATGCGGAGTATATAGAGTCCACTATGCGACAAAGACAAGAAAACCTGCAGGAGTGACCTATTGGATTGATCATTTCATACGACACAAGGAACGGAATACTCCCGCCAATATAAAACGATATACCTCAGTAGGTGAGATGGCATCCTGTTCCACAGAGCCAGTAGAAGTTACAACCAGTTTGTCCTGCCAGTTTCTGGCTCGACTTTGAATCCTGAATTGCCACTCAGAACCTACCAAAACTAAATCTAGCATTGGATCTAGACCATGTTCAGGCTCAAATTTTGCAATATTCAGATGCTCTTGCTTGAGTCTCACCTGCAATTGCAAAGTTAATGAGATTAAGAGAAGGCCAAAAGCAGAGTAACCACAAAGACGAGCAGTATATGGATTAGCTTGAACACCCCACCTGAGTTGCAACAAGATTTACGTCACCATTCTCAAAAGTTAAGACACCTCTAGGTTGTATCGATTTGGGATGAGCCGGGCCATTTAATTCAAGCTCTCCGCTAACTGCGAAATTGAGGATTAAAGGATAAACTACCCTCAACTCTGGTCCTAGAGCGAGCTTCAAATCACTAAGCTGAATGTCTACATTCGGTTTAATGTTCACTTGCTCCATCTCCTTTTCAGTTGGTTGAACTGCCAATCCAGAAGGTTGAAGGTTAAAAAGCAGAATTTGCAGATATCAACTTTACCAATCATATTTGCTAAAAAACATCTAGTCTGAATTTATAGTATCATAATGTCACACAATGAAACAAAAGATGCAGTGATGTCTTACCTGAAGGTCGAGGGAACTTTGTCCTTGAAGCAGCAGGTTGTGAACTGAAAAACCGCGAAACATACCTCGAGGCAACTACTCGATCGACACCAGTACCAGGGAGCCTGGACTCATTTGATGCCAATCTATTAGTAGCAGCCCCACTACCCTTATCGTGTGGTAGATATGCTTCACCATGGCTCAATTTAATACTTCCAGAGATGTTAGGTTGCAATATAGAACCAGTTATCTGCATCTGAGTGTCAACCTGGGCGCTGCAATTTTAGTTAACACATGAGTTTTTTTTGGGCCGCAAACAAAAGGAATATGCAGCTAAGACTGCTAATAAAACATGGATTAACTCTCAATGGAAGGGAAGGGACTCCATTTCCGGAGTAAGTTTATCTTATTTGTTCTCTCTTCCTATTTTGGGTTTGTACCACAACACCAGAACCAATGGAAACATCAAAGCAGCAAAATAAAAATTGGGATTTTAAGGATTCTGAAAAGAATAAGAATCCAAAAATCAACCTATTAACGATGCAAATCAACTTAGCCTTTCAATCATAAGAAACAAAAATAAGTACCTCAGAATATTCTTTGCACGTACTTCCAGAACTTCACATTTCAAGTCAATTTTATCTCCAAGGGATGCTTCACTTGTTCTAAGGGGCAGGTTTCCTTTTACAAACAGTTTCCCCCTTCTGCTTACTCTACTCTCCAACGAAGTGATGCATAACCTATTCGATTTCACATGAACTGTGCCACCGAAGTTTGTGAGTGGTTTCCAGAGAACTGGTGATGATATGGATGCCCTGTGGAATGATGCATATCCATCCAGCACTGGTTGTTCGACTGTGCCTCTGACCTGTTGATAGTACAATCCTCAACAAACTTTAATCATGGCCTTAAACTGAACCATAACAGAGCAATTTGACGGAAAAAAGAAACACAGTATATGAAATTACAGGCATGCAGAAAACCAACATTCAATTGACACACCTGAAGTATGACATCAGCATTTCCCTGAAGCCATTTAGCATAAGAAGATAAGGCAGTTAACAGCATCATGCCCCCATCTTTAATATCAGCATCTATTCTGACTTCCCCTACATCGAGAAGGTTCCAGTTTAAACCTTTGAGGCTTTCTGCTAATCGAGTATCCCACCCTTCTTCATTTCGCTCTCTTGAAAGTTTCTTTTCACCGGAGTCATCTACGGAACCCCTACCTCTTTCCTTTACCCAACCATGGTCCCAACTTGCACGACTTTTATCTTTTTCTGAATCTTCTTCCTCTGACATGTTATTCTGAACAAAAGTGACAGGAACACTTCCTTGAATGTGAACATGGCCAATTTGGATGATTGGTTCAAATTTTGCATTGAACAGAAAACGACTGGTTGAGGTTAGGGAAGCAACAATTTCAGCTCGTCCAAGATCAATCCCCCCAATGGCACCATCCAGGAGCCTTACTTGCACATCACATTCTGGTTTTGCAAGATTCCCTCTGAGATCGCCTTCCATGTGCAATATACCCCTAATTGGTGCTAAAAATTTCCGTAAAGATTGAACCACATCAGTAGCAGAAGATTCGACCACCTGAATCACAGTAGGAACTAGACTAACAGGAAAGTTTAGAACAGCAAAGTGAAGATTCGTTTTAGGCCCTAACAAAGTCCCATCTGCGTGAATTGTAGCATTATCTTTCTGAATAAACATCTTTTCCAGGCGCAAACCATCATCGTTGCTGTATGCACCAACTGCCAGAACACGCTGAGTTTTGTAGGTTCCCCACTCCCATTCCTCCCCATGAAAATCAAATTCTGCCTGACAAAAATATATAATGATAAAACCAATTATTAGAGGACAAAGCCTACATGCCAAGATTCAAAAAGTAACCATGGTAGCTATGTATTCCAGGTCTAACTGCTACATTTAAGTTGGACTAGCAACAATTAGAACAAAAGGTTATGCTTATTATCTAAAAGTTGGTTTTTCCTTCAACTGAGAGGATTATCAAGGAGCAAAGTTCAAGTGATCATCAATTTGTAATATGAGCGCACAGGAGAACCTCATAGGATAGGACAGCATAACTTCATAGGATAGGATTCACTATCATTTGTGTCCCAACATCCAGTTGTCCAAAAAATGATTACCCATCTCCTTACAATTTTGGTATTCAGAAAAAAGATATTTGATATTTGAACCCGTGCAACGATGGGAAAGATATATACCATTGTATCCCCATTGCCACCACCACTTGCATCAAGAGAGCCATGCCAGCTACCTCTAAGCTCAGTTAAACCTGGAAGATTCAATTCTTCTAGAACAACTTCATTTAATGGAGTATAATGTCCCCGTATAACCTGAAATAATGGATCAACAACAATCATATATACATAACTGCCCCGGCTGATCTCATTACTACAAACAGAAAAGAAAAAAAAATTCTACAAAGACATCAGATCC